CCCCCCCCCCCCCCCCCTCCCCGCCCCTCCCCTCCCCCTCGGCGCGCCTTGCCCTTCTGTGCAGCCTCCGCGATCGTGCGCAGCTCCGAGCAGCCGTCCGCCAGGTTCTCGTACGCAAACATGCCCGAGCCCGCGATGAAGCAGTTGGCGCCCGCATCGGCGCACGCGGCGATCGTCCAGTCCGCCTTGACGCCGCCGTCCACCTCGATGTCGATGTCGAGGCCGCGGTCGACGATCCAGCCGCGGATCTTCTTGATCTTGTCGACCATCGTCGGGATGTACGCCTGGCGGGGAGAGAGTGTGGAGGCTCGCAGCAGAGGGGAGAGAGGGGGGAGAGACCCACGCCACGCACCTGCGCCGGTGAGATCTCGGGTATATCTCGGGTACATCTCGGGTATCTCGCCCCCCTCTCGGGTCTCTCTCTCGGCCGTATCTCGTGTGCCTGGCCTCCGAAGCCCGGGTTGACGGTCATCACCAGCACGTGGTCGCACCTGCGGGCAAAAGAATGAATCATTCGATCCTCTGCCGACCGGCTGCATCTCGGCTGCATCTCGGCTGCATCTCGGCTGCATCTCGGCTGTGTAGCGCACAGGTCGAGCACATTCTCGATCATCTCCGCCGGCGTGTGCGGGTTGAGCGCGACCGACGGCGAGCCTCCCCCCTCGCGGATCTTGGTGAGCGTGCGGTGCAGGTGCGTGTTTCCCTCGACGTGCGCGATCACGACACCGGGCTTGCCCGGCTGGTTGGTCGCCGCGGTGTACTCGTCGAGCATCGTCTGGATCCGGAAGGGCGAGAGGGTGGCAAGGCGCGGCCGAGCGGGAGGGTAGCGGGGCGTGGGCGGGGCGTGGGCGGGGCAGTAGAGGCGGCGTAGAGACGCGGGTGACGCGGCCGCTCTGGTGCATTCTACTCTCTCGCACCTCGCAGTTGTACTGCGACACCATCAGCTGCGTCTCAAACTTGACGGTGGTGTACTTTTTGCAGGCGGCGATGAGCTCCGGGCCGAAGGTCAGGTTCGGCACAAAGTTGCCGTCCATGACGTCGAACTGCGCGTCGCAGGAGGGCGCGGGGCGTCAGAAGCGGCGGTTGCAGGGTTGCAGGCTTTGACGTTGGAGGCGGGAGGCCAGGGCAGCGGCAGAGCTTCGCACCTGGATACGGTCGACGCCGGCGTCTTCGAGCCGCTTGCACCTGGACGAAACGCACGTCGTGGAGTCGCTGCTCCTCCGTCGGCAACACCGTGCGCGCGGGCGTACGCATGCTCTGCGCTGCGTGTTGTGCTGTGTGAGTGCATGCGGAGGAGGAGAAAGGGCTGCTGGCACTCACTCGGCGCCCATGTTGGCCCAGTCGGCCGGAAGGACGGACGGGATGATCTGGACGGGCCTAGGCTCGCCGTAGAGCATGGCAGGCGCACCCGCACGGCCCTGCGAAACCGGCGAACGCGACACCGAGAAGCCCGAGCTGAAGGCGAGAGTGGAAAGCATTGCTGAGCTATTCAGATTCGGGCACCAGGCGGACACCACTGTTTTTTTTCCTGGTGCCCCCCGACGATGTAAATAGATACCCCGATACGTTCATACCTCACAAATACACTTGGCAATGTCCCCTCATTCTTTATCGACGTGCTAAGATCGTCATCGCCATCGGTCTCAAGTTAATCGTTGTTGTCTAATCGTGATGGGTGGTGAGGTGTGTGGTGAGCGGGTCGTTGATCCACAGCGTCTCCTCCCGTAGATCGCGGAGGATCGCGTGGATGTGGTTGCCAAAGGGGATGGCGCCCTCAGAGTTGCCCGCCTGCGGCCGCGTCACCGTGCTCCACTCCACCGAAGAGGTCATCTCGACGAGCAGCTTCCCCACCGCCACGAGGGCAAAGAAGCTGCCCCCGAGGAGCATCGGCGGGTCGCCCGCGGTGGAGAGAGTCACCAGCGTCCCGGGGCTGGATAGAGCGGTCTCGATGCGCGCGTCGTAAACGTGCGCCGCCTGGAGAGCGGAGAGGGTCGACGAGGGGTCACTGCTCGGGCGCTGCTCAACAGCCCAGGTCAGCGCCGCCACCTCTCGGGACATGACACTCGTGAAGGAGTAGAGGCCCTTGTGCAGGTACCACAGCGCCGTCTCGCTGAGCTCGGACACCGGGACGATGGCGTGTGCGTAACCCTCAAGCGACTCGGCGAGCGTGGCAGCAGTCAGATTGCGGCCGAGCCCAGCGACAAATTGGAACTCGTTCGGGATGCCGGCCTCGGCTGGCATCCGGGGTGGGAACGATGGCTCAGAAAAAGGCCGGAGGTGGGTTGGGGCGCCGCCTCGCCTGGGAGCGGGTCCTCGCCCAGGAATTGCGAGCCATCCATCTTGGCCCCAGCGTACGTCGCCGCTGGGAGCGCGTCGAAAAATGATCGAAAGTGCCGCACGCTCTGCGCCAGGAGCAGCTGCCCCTCGGTCCACTTGGTCATGTACGCCCACTCGCCCCAGCTCGTGCAGAGAGGCTCCGTTGCAACCCCGCTCGTTTCGCCGTCGCCTTGCATCTCCCAGACGGGGGGCGCCTGCGCTGGAAAGCTGCCGAGCATGAGCGGGGTGGTCTGGACGCGCACGGTTCCGTCTTCGAGGTACTGCAAGAGAAAATTTACGCTCACGTGGTGGCCCTCGAAGCGCAGCGCGATATCTGTGGGCGGGATAGTGGCAAGGTGGTATCGTTCTTGGGGCGGCTGCGAGGCAACCCGAGCTCTGCGAGCGGTGACGGCGGCGAGGCTGGTGTGGTGAGCGTATGCGTGGTGGGCGGCGGTGCAGTTGCTCACTGCTGCCCGGCCTGAAATCGTCCGGGTCCTCGAGGAACAGTGCTAGCGAGTACGAGCAGAACTGGTCGAGCCGCCGCTCGAAGCCTGGCGGCGTGGCCCACTCCCAGTTAAATCCCATCCCGTCCACGAAGCGGCTGGCGCCCGCGTGCGGCAGCGCCGCGTCCTTTGAGAGCGGCCGCTTGCCCGCGGTCGCGATGTAGGTCAGTTTTTCCATGTCAGGGATGCCCAGACTGTCGGCTAGGTCCCAGAAGCGTCGGTTGATGCCTGGCGTGTCCGTGTCCAACGTTATGTTCTCTTCGCGCATCAGCTGCCACATTCGGCTCACGAGGGTCAGATTGCCCTGGCCCGCAAACTCCTCGAGTTCGCCGATGTCTCGCTGTCGATTCATCACCGCCACGATGGTGTAGTACCCGCCCTCGGAGAGAGCCGTGCTCAGCAGCGAGTGCATGGCCGCCTTTTGCGCGTATGTCATGTCGCACTGCGCGAGGCCCGGTGCAGGGCTCCACGCAAAGGCAGCCTATGGGCATGTGATTGCCGTTTGTGGGCCTGTACTGCACCTGCACTCAAGCGGGCCTACGAACGGTGCCGCGAATGGTGAGACGGCGAGGGCGCCCGTGGTGCGTTCGGTCGATCCGAGGGGCATCACGAGCTGGTCCTTGAGGGCGGGGCTCCCGTCGAAGAGCGCCACGAGGTCGGCCACTTTATCGTGCACTGCGTTGGCGTACAGGTGAAGCAGCGGGTCGTGGTTGGGACCGGAGGGCGAGGTCTCCACCTCTGAGGGGCAGTCCTCCTCGTCCAAGCGGCGGCCAGCGGGAGGAGCGAGCATGGCCTTGGTGGCAGCCGACATGGGCGCAAGCCCCCAGATCTCGGGCAGCACGCCGCGGGTCTCCTCCTTGCGCGAAAAGTGCGTCCAGTCGAGGTCAAGGTGCACGTGCTTTGCCTGTTCCGCCTTGTCTAAAAACTTGCGGGCCACCGAGGAGCGAATCGTGAGCTGCAGTTGGTCGCCGACGGTGACATGGAGGGACTCGACCGGGTGCTCACGGCGTGTGTCGATTCTGATTGAGACGGAGATGTTTCCAACTTGCGCCGCACCTTCTCTTTGCATCGAGCTGCCACCAAGCTGAACGGATAGGGCACGGAGGGGCGGCGCTTTGTCCTCGTTGTGGTGAGTGGTGATGTCGGCGCTATGGTTGACGGCCACAGCCAGTAGCGTCTTTCCACCTCTGACGAGTCGCAGAGCGTGGAGCCACTCGCCATCTGCCAAGTCGTGGCCGGGTGTGTGGCCAGCAGACCCCATCACAGCAATATCACCCTGCCGGAAGAGCTCCGTCTCGACGCCCTCGGGCAGCCAGTAGCGTGTTGACACTCCATTGAATGTGGTGATTGGGTCACCGGCCGAGGTCGGGCAGGCGGCGTGGATCGGGGTCAGGAGAGCAGAGAGGACGAGACCTCGATTTGTGTGCATGTTGGGTGTGTGTGTGGGGTGAGTATCACACAACACTGTGGTTGTGGTTGGAGGTTGTGGTTGGCGATCACGCAAATAGGACGCGCGGTTTCGGCAGACTAACTTCCCTGCCCCTACTTGAGCACTTGAGCACCGGATAGGGTCGATTCCGCATGGTACGGGACCCCTCGATCGTCTCGCCCTCCCTCACTGGTGTGTTCATTTGGGGGGGTCATTATAACAAACACGGTACAGGATCGAGGTGCACGCGCTGCAGAGGCAGTGTCGTCCCCCCTCTCCCCGACCGACGGCGATGGCGGTGTGACCGATCGAGCTACAAGAGGAACTTGTTCAGCAGGATCCGAGTTAGACCAGTGCACTACCTCACTGGGCCTGAGACCACCAGAACGCTTCTCGTCACGTCTCGGGTTTGTGGGATCGAACCACTCCGGAATGGGCAAGTCCATCGTTCGCTGGATTGTGCCTTTCCCTCACTGATTAATTCCAATTTCCTCCTGTGCAAGAGCGGAGAGGGCTCGGACGGCGCGTGGCGGGAGAGGGCAGGCATGGAATAGCAGCCATCTGATTAATTGTCAAAATTCCTGTTGTGCAAGAGCGGAGATGGCTCGGACGGGGCGCGCGGCGGGAGAGGGCAGGGAATGGGCGCGGGGGAGGGGAGGGGGGGCTCAGCCGTGGAAAAAGCATTAATTAATAATATCAATAAAGAATTATTGCTCGGCCGTTCATGAAGTCCGAGTCTCTTCTCTTGAAGTCCGTCTCGATCTGGTTCTGGAGGAGACGGGTCAACCCCGTGAGGACCAGTTCACGTACGTTCAAAAACAAATCTCGTACGTTCACATTGTCGTAGCCGCGGAGAGGATGCTGACCTTAAGCTCTTGGAGCCAACCGTTCGCTTTGGTTTTCCCCCCAAACCATTCGGCCAACTTTTAGCGAATGCCTTTCTTTTTAGATCACAGATGGCCAACACCACCACCTTACTGGCCGTAAATCGTCCGTCCACCGACCGAGCTCTCTTCTCATCCACGATGGGCAAGTCCAGGGCGCCCGAGGACAGCGTGATCGACGGGCAGAATGTGAAGCTGGACTACTTCTGGTATGGCGAGACCGACGGCAAGTTCTGGGAGGCCAACTCCACAAATGGTGTCGTCACTACGCGGTGGGCCGAGCAGTATCCGCTTGATTGCGGGGGCCTAGACGGACGACGGACATTCCCCTTACTTCCTACAGGTGGGGCACGATCGGAGAAACGGGCCAGTCAAAAGCAAGTAAGAAGTATCGCCCGTACATCAACGGGAAGAAGCTGGCGAGAAAGAAAGGCGCGCCCGCGGCACATTTGCACGTGCCTGATTCCGGCCATTCCACCCATCGCACACCCCTGCCCTGCACGCCCGGAACGAGCGACACGCGCTCCCGCAGCTCTCTCCCCGCCGCTGCTCATCATCGCACGCCCTGCCCCGCAGTGAGCGCGAAGATTGGGGAGGGGTACGTGCAGAAGAAGGGGCTGGGGGCCAAGGGGGCAGCAACCTCGCCGGTGACCAAGACCATCACAAAGAAGGCGCCGGCGACGCCGGCGACGCCAAAGAAGGCTCCGGCCAAAAAGGCGGCTGGCAGCTACCTCTTCCAGGGCACCGCCCCGTCCAAAAGCGGTGGCAAGTTCTGGCGGGTGAGGAGGGAAGGGACTCTCCTCAATGCGTGTTGTCTGCTAGTCCCACCGACGCCCCCATCCCCCCCTTGCCTCCGCGCAGATCAAGGTGGCTGGGAAGAAGTTTACCACGGAGTACGGCAAGGTTGGGAAGGAAAAGGCTGGGTTTCGGAGCTCGACCAAGGAGTTTGCGACCGCTGCAGTGCGCTCCCCACACACGCCTCAACTTTAATACCTCCACCCACGTCACACACTGGATCTTGCCTCTGCCGTAGGAGGCCACCAAGGAGGCGGAGAAGCTCATCAAGCGGAAGTCGAAGGACTACTCTTAGGGACGACGCGTGGGCGTGCGACGACAAGGCGGGACACGCATGTTCGTATGACTAGATGTACTCATGGACGTGATGTAATTTATCGTGATTATGTGCATATCTGCAAACGTAATATAAAACGCTGAGGCTGCGCAGGCTGACCCAGGTCGAAGGAAGGCGCGCGTGAACACATACTGCATGTGCGATAGAGAATCTCAGCTCTCTCTGTTTCGGTTTGCCGGCAAATGCGCGCGGAGGGCCAGCTTCCGGTCGTGCAGCTGAGTCCTTAGAGAGCAAGAGCAGTCCGTGCACAGGTGCCAAGTACTTTAGCAAGTTGGCAACTAGAGCCAAACGCCAAAGCTGCCCCTCCGACGGCGACGCCAAGCTGGAGGGCGCGGGGCCCGGGGCTCTCTCTCGAGTCTCCCGGCGGAGAAGAGATGGGCGTTATAGGCGGGGAAGAGCTCTGAGACTGTCAGACTGAGAGCGCGTGCCGCGTGGGCGCAGACATTATATAATACATGATGCACACTGCACTAGAGACACTAGTCACACACACGGGGCTGGCTGCGCGATATGTTCATAGTTTCCGAGACTCGGTGTCTCTCCCCGCCCCTCCGGCCTCAGGTGCGGGGCGATCGCGTGCTTAAACACGCCGGGCAGCGCCGTGCGGTAGTCCAGCAGCAGCTCCTCGCCCGCCCGCACCTCGCGGGTGGTGCGGTAGGAGTAGAAGCCGCCCTGCCGCGGCGGGCTCGTCGACTGCTCCGGGCGATGCAACTCCATGTTGACCGCCTGCGCAGCACTCGTGTGAGTCGGGAGTTGCTCGGATAGAGTCCAGTGGTGGGGCGGGCGCTCGCTGCCTCGTCCGTGTTGGCGTGGTTGAGAAACCTGGCGCGATGGCGGGGAGCGGCGGTCACGCCACTCTGCGTGGCTCCGCTCCTCCTCCTCTCTCCGTCCGCTCACCAAGAGGCGTCCATCGTGACAGTGCCGCACGCGTTGACGGGCACACGGCCGGGAGTCGAATCGTGGAAGGAGAGCACGTGCTCGAGCACCGGCGGAGGCAGCGACTGCAGCTCGTCCGACGTGAGCGGGATGCTCTGCTCAGCGCGGCAGAGGTGCGCGTTGGGAGGCACAAACGGGTCCGTCTCTGCCGGAATATCGACGAGGGCGACGACACCAACGCCGGCCACCCGGCTGGGCGCGAGCCTGACGTAGGAGCGGTGCCGGAGGTGCTCTAGCAGCGCTGCCTTTGCAGCCGCCTCCCGTGCCCGGTGCTCCTCGAACTCGCCCTCACGCCACACCGAGTCGTCATCCGGCTCGGCTGGTGGCTGCGACTCAAGAGCGCCAGCTCTGTGGCCGAGGAGATACGCGGCCGCAGCGACCGCGGCGTGCGAGAGGGCCGACCGTCGCGCGAGCGAATGCGCCGGACACATTTGTTTACTCGAGTTCTCGAGGTTCTCGAGGTGGATATCCTTTGGCCGCGTTGGGTAGCGAGGATTGGTGTGACGCGATCCACGCCAGGCGTGTTCTGGCGGCCGACCGTCAGCGAGCCGTCTTACCAGGTCCAGGTCCCTAGCTAGTTCGCACAGTGCTGTGAATACGACGGGTTGTGCGTTTACGTGAATACGACGCCAAGGAGGCGGCTGGTGAGACAGTCACCATCGGTAAGCGGAAGGGCGACCAGCTTGCTAACGGATCGAAGGACATTCCGTGCGAGCACGCACAACATTCGTCACAACGGCACCATGTATGCGGCGGCCAACATGGTCCGTGCACGAGCCTGCGGCAAGCTCGTGCTCGGTGACAAGGCGAACCCTCAGACGACTTTCCATCTCAACGAGGGGCACGTCACCGACATGTGCGAGATCGGCGGGGACCTGCAGTCCCAGCGCGATGTCCACTACGAAGTCAAGGTGCCTAGCGCCCTCACAAAGACGAGGCAGGCTGGGCAGGGCTCGGCGGCACACGGCGGATGCTGTGCGTCACTCTGGGCCACAAGTTTGTTGGTTTCGGCAACACCCTCGACCAAACCTTGCTCAAGGTTCTTGGGTGCAAAGAGCGCGGCCACAAGTCACAGGGCCCGCTCGTCCATGCGACCGGTAAAGGCTGGGTCAAAGGGCACAAGGGACAGTACTACGACGCGCTCAATGTCAAGAACGGAATCGTCAAAATTTGTCTCGTCGAAAGCCAGGGCGGCATTGCGCCGCCGACCAAGAGAATCATCTTCAACTTCGCCAAAGAGGTCGGCAGCCCGAGCGCCGTTCGACCGCACCGACTACGGCACAGCCTCCGGCAGCGCCCGGGGCTTTGTCCAGCACCACTCGCAACAGCTCTCGCGCGCCGCCGTCTGTGGCGACGCGCAAAACATCAACAACGCTGCTCGCAACATGCGTGTCGCGCACTCATTCATGACCGGTCTCAATGCCCCACCCCCCTGCGCGCGGGCCTTCTAGGCCCGCGGGTAGTCTCCCCCCATTCCCAGGGCCTCCAGGGCTCGCACCTCAACCTCTCACAGACCAGCGCACAGCGCCATAGGACGTATTTTCTTCTCAATAACAAGGCTGTGAATCGAGCGGCAACCAACAGCTCTCAGGACCCCCCAGTGCTGGGGTGCTGCCAGCAACCAACCAACTCACCGGCGAGCGGAGCGAGCCGAAGAGCTGGGGCCGAATTGGCGCTGTGAACGTCGTTTGTTTGAATCGATGTTTCGGCGGGCACGTCGCACCTACGTGGCGCGGGCCGCCAGGGGCCCGGCAGCAGGGCGCCCCCGCGCGGATGCCGACGAGGATCACGGTGCGCTATCTGGGCTCGGAGGTCGGTAGGCAAAAAGGGCGAACCACGTACCGGTACCCGAACAAGCATGATCCAGAGAACGGGGCATTGCACCTACATAGTGCGGGACCTGGGGCAGCAACCAACAACCTGGATGGGGACGGGGTGCTGCGCAACCGACGCCAACCAGCAGCGTTCACAGCACAGTGCGAAACTAGGGTTGCAACCTGGGTAATAAAAGACGGCTCGCTGGGTGTGGACATCGCGAGAGAAAGAAATTGCGGCGCCGCTGCGAACATTTGTTTTTCATTACGATATATCGATGCCTAGTAACCCCTCCTCCCACACGCACGCGCGCGCTAGCGGACACTCACGTACTCCACTCCATCCGCGAGGCCCACGTCGTGGCACACGCCGCACAAATCGTACTCGCACCCGGCGGCGCAGTGCCACATCGAGCGGCACCCCTGCTCCTCGAGCTCGCGCCTGTGTTCACAGCGTGAGGAGGCGCCACCCGGCTCGCTGCGGCGCACCCTGTGCAGCCTCGAGTCGCCGCAAGCGTCGCACGAGTAGGAGCCCTCCTCGGGCGGGTAGAGCAGGTCCATGGTTGCGACGCTGCACTCGACGAGCCGGTGCGCGGCGGCGGGGCAGATCTGTCGGTAGAAGAGGATGAGCGAGTAGCGCGCCGCCGATCCCTGCACACGAGCGACAGCGTGACAACTCCGGGGTGTGAACAGCGCCTGTGTTGCCGGCCTGGGGTTGTGCTTTTCTGTGAACAGCGCCTCTTCACACAATCGGGTGTGACAAGTCCGCCTCACCTGCACGCGAGTGACAGCGTGGAGCAGCGTCGAAGCGTGCAGCGTCGCCGTGCCCTCGGCGCGGTCACACCGCACAACCTCGCCGCCCACGATGGCGAGCAGTGCGCCTCCCTCGAGGCCTGCTCACACTTGAGCCGTGAAGAGACGCCGTTCAAGCCCACGGCAGTGCGCCTCCCTCGAAGCCCTGGTCGTCGGACAGCGCGACGTTCATCGTGAGGGAGGAGCGGTCGAAGTGGAAGCCGACCTACTCACCGCCAGAGGTGTGACCGGGCGCTCGTCACACTCACACGACCGGTCGAAGTGGAAGCCGACGACCCACGGCCGCGTGGCGGCGCTGTACCGCCGGACGAAGATCTCGTGCGGCTCCTCGGTGAGCGGGTGCGGCGAGGCGGCGATGCCTGCCGCGCTCGCGGCGGCGGCGGCGGCGGCGGGGCGCAGCGGCGACTGAAGCTCGGCATGCGCCTGCGGGGGCGAGAGGCCGCCGTCAGAGCTCCGAGAATGCCGCATGGGAGCGCTGCGACACGGCGCTGGAGGAGTGTCTTGTGCTGTGTGTCTGTGAGTGTGACCCGTGTCCGTCGCGTTGGCGGCCTCTTCAAAGCCCAAGAGGCTGAGTTCTCGGAGCTGTCTCGGAAGCGTCTCGGAAGTGTCTCGGAGCTGTCTTGGAACCGCCCCGGACGTGTCTCGGCATGCGCCTCGGCGGCGAGAAAGTTGAGCCGCGCAAAGGCGTCCACGCCGACAAGCTCTTCGAAGTCGGCGCTGGTGAGCGTGAGTTGGTACTCGAGTAGGCCGTCGACTGAGTCGAGCGTCTCCATCGAGGCTGCGTCCACCGCGTTGCGCAGCGCCGCGCACTGAGCGAGGTCGAGGCTCGCGGGAACACGGCGCGCGGCGGCGCTGGCGCGGCGAGACGCCCAGTCATGCCGCGAGCCGCCCAGGTCGAGGGCGTCGAGCAGCTCGGCCGCGTCGACGCTGCGGACGGGGTGGCGTGTGGTGAGATGAACGGGCAGTGGATAGAGAGCTGTGGTGAGGCCAATGGTGAGATGAACGGGCAGTGCCTCCACAGGTAAAGTCCTGTCCACTATCTGTCAAGGCTGGGTGGTGGGCATCTCTGGACTGTGTGTCGACTTTGCCGGGTCGCAATTGTCCACAAGCAGAGCGCGGATGACGGGCGCCAGCGGCGTGTCGGTCTGTCGATGGAGCACTGCCGCCAGGAACGAGTCGCTCATGAGGCACAGATGCAAGCGGCACAGAGAGGAGTCAACAGAGAGGAGTCACAACCTCGAGGAGCTGGAGCCCCGCCTCGGCCCGCCTCGGCCCGTTGGGGCGGCGTGGAGCATTTTTTTCTTTTTTTGACATCTCTTTTGACTTTTGTCTGTCGTAACGTAAAAGCACAGTCAGAGGACGTCCCGCGGAATTCTTCTCTCGAGATGCTTCGGAATCGAAGCGAACGACCGAATGACCTTCGACGACTCGATGCCCATCGTACCCGAAACGCCGACTACGGCTTGCGTGGAGGCGGACAGTCCCCGCACGATGCGCTCTGGGCACGGCCACTCCGTCCTCACCCGTGCCGTCCACTCCAACTCTGGGCACGAGCTCTGCCACCGCGCACAGGCGCCGTCGCTCTTGCCTCCGCTGCCGCACGCCACCCGTCGCCGGCGCCGGCGCCGGCCGCCCGCGCGCGACCTCCGCCCGCTCCGACTCCCAACCTCCATCCACTCTCCATTCCGAATCCGACCTCGTTGCCGGTCACGCGCCGTTCGCCGCACCGCAGGAGAAGATTGGCTTCGGAGTCGCCGAGCACATGCTGGCGGCGGTGGGCCGGACGCTCACCGGCCGCCTGGTGGCGCACGGCGGCGAGATTGTTGAGGCGCAGGCCACCGGCGCCGTCGCCAAGGCGCGCAAGCTCCTCGCCGCGGCTCGCCGCCGGCTGACGCGAGGCAAGGTCCGCGCCACGCCGGCAGAGGTTGCGGCGGCGCCGCACGCGCTTCTGCTGCCCGCGCAGTGGTGCCTGTTCTCGGTGCACCTCCTCCTCCCGCTACTGGGGGCCTACCTGCTCCTCCACATGGCGCGCCACGGCTGGCAGCGCGCCGGGCGGGAGTGGCGCGAGCAGCGCAGCTGCTGACAAGCCTGGCTGATGAGACATTCAACGAATCACTGCTGTCTCATTAGGCGCGAGCAGCGCGCGCTGCTGACCAGCCTACTCTTCGTCGTCGGCGCGACGTCGACAGCCTCCGCCTCCGCCTCGCCGGCTTCTCTGTTTCCGCACACGTCTCCTCCTGTGTAGGCGTGGCGTGCGACAGCCTTCGGCTGCGCAGCGTTCTCTTCTGGCCACACCCACATTTCGTTTGTAGGCGCGGCGTGCGACAGCCTCGACTGCCTCGCCCACGTGCTCGTGCTGCCGTGCTTGCTGCTCGACGGCGGCCGCCTCTGACCGGCAGCACCTCGAGCATGTTTTGTGAGTCCATCGCTGAGGAGTTGTGAATGAACGGATGCCTCAGGTGGCCTCTTTGACCACCATCTCGAGCACTCCCTGCACGCCGCCTCGCTCCGCCTCGCCGTCGCCGCCTGCTGCAGCATGGTTGTCGGCGAGGCCCTCTCCCGCTCGTCGGGCCACGGCCACGGCAACGCGGAAGCAGATGGGGAAGAGTTTGAAGACAGCGCGCGGACTCGGCTGCCTTTCACGTCACCGCTGTTCTCCGCTATTCTCCGCTGTATCTCCGCTGTATCTCCGCTGTATCTCCGCTGTATCTCCGCTGTATTCGCAGCCCTCGTGTTGATGCAATTGCTCACAGTTCTTCACTGGCGACTACTCAGGCGACGGAGACGGGGACGGCGCGGCGCGTGCGTGGACGGAGACGGCGTTCACTGGCGGTGGCCGCCCCTTCTTCTACAACAGCGTCACCGGCGAGACTAGCCGAGACTCTCCGAGATGAGACGAGACTGGCCGAGACTGGCCGCGAGATTCTGCCAACAGCAGCCTCGCGGGCGAACCGACGCACGTCTTCGGCCGCCGGGATCCATCACAAGCTCCATCGGGCCTTTGTGGACTGCCTCTCCCCGAGAAGGCACACACCGCCCCGTGCCGTGCCCCCGTCGTCTTTCGGGAGTGCGTGGTGCCCCGTCGGCCGTGTCCAGGACGAGTGTAGACATTGCTGGCTGTGGCGGGAGAGGAGGAGGCGGGTGCGAGAAGGAGGCGGGTGCGAGAAGGAGGCGGGTGCGAGAAGGAGGCGGGTGCGAGAAGGAGGCGGGTGCGAGAAGGAGGCGGGTGCGAGAAGGAGGCGGGTGCGAGAAGGAGGCGGGTGCGAGAAGGGGGCGGGTGCGAGAAGGGGGCGGGAGCGAGAAGGAGGCGGGTGCGAGAAGGAGGCGGGTGCGAGAAGGAGGCGGGTGCGAGAAGGAGGCGGGTGCGAGAAGGAGGTGGGTGCGAGAAGGAGGCGGGTGCGTGCTCTAGGCGAGGCGACCTACTCGCGGCCGCGCAGCCTCCCGCCGCCGCCAGGCCGCAAGGAGGCCAAGGCCGGCAAGGCGGACTGACCGCCGGAGCGGCGCACACGTGCCGCTCGGCGGCCTTGCTCTCGGGCCCCGCGCCGGCCTCTGGGCTTTGGCCACCGCCGCCGCCGGCCCGAGCGCCTTGTCATCGCACAACGCTCGCCGTGAGTTTGTGGTGGGGAAGGGGCCACCCCGGCGTCCCGCGATTGGACGGCGCTCCCGGACGCAGGCTGCCGTCGTGCCGCGCGTTTGGGAGGGCTGAGATTGCGTCCACACGCGCCGCCCGGGGGATGTGAGAGCCTGGGGAGGATGTGCGAGTTGCATGTGTGAGCTCGCAGCCGGGGAGCTGACGGAGCTGTGCGACTTGTGATTTATTCTTTCTACATGCCATTGGCGGATGTGTTTGGGGGGTGGGGGCGGGGCCCTCGCCCCCACCGCGAACGTGTGCTCCGTAGGCTGAAAACGCAACACACAGCTCACAGGTCGCTGAGAAACTCTCTCTGCATATGAACCCGGACGAGGCGCGCCCGCGGAGAAGAAAGGAACTCCCGCCACCGACACCGCGCCCCAGCCGCCCCATCGCGATGCTCCGGCGCCGCCCTTACCCGGAGGCCGTTCGTCAAAGAGCCCACCGCGACTGCGTGGCGTCCACCGCCCCCGCCGTCTGGGCCTTCTCGCGAGGACTTAGCGCTTGAGCGCGTCGCCCGCATCCGCACGGCACAAGACGAAGAGAGAAGCGGCTGTGGCCTGTGCCACGTGCCTGCACCGAGCTGTGCACGCTGCAGAGGGGTCTCGCCAGGACCCAGGTCCGTGCAAATACGGCTCTCTAGCTGCAAACCCATGCCATGGCCCAGATGGCCTTGCCGGGGCGCGGGGGGGGGGCGCTTAAAAATACCGAAAAAACTGCAAAAACGCTGACGATAGATTACCGGGGCCCGCTGGGCGAGAGTTGTCCGCCAGCGAGTACGGGGCTCCACGAGTGTGCGCACTCCCTCAACGCGGGACCGCTGCACGGCACTTAAACGCAGACAATGTCTCGGACGTGTCATCGGAAATGTCTCGGAATGTGATCACCGGCGGGGTGAAGACGCCGCCCCTCGGCAGACACGCAAGCTGAGCGACTGCGAGAAGAGGCCGCGGCTGCGCCCATCGTCGTCCGCCTCGAGGGGCGGCGCGGGCGGCAGGCTAGCTGCGAGCGACGACTCCTACGAGACCCGGCGACCGGATTATGAACGATGAGCACGCAGCCTCCGCCGTCGCGGAGCTGCAAGGGAAGGCCTCCTCGGCGGCGGCGGCGTCGGCGGTGTCGGCGGCGGTCTCGGGCTGGTCAGGCGAGCTCCCGCTGCTGTGGGCGCCGAGCGGTCGGGCGCAGAGAGGGCTGAGGCTTGGGCTGCGGAACCCCACCGAAGAAGAGAGCCTCTCTGCCCGCCGCGCCTACTCCCGGGCCATCTCGAGTCGGCTCGGGCAATCTCGCGGAGGAGGGAGTCGTCCTCTCTTGCCCGTCCCACCCCTCCGTCGCCACACGCGAAGCGAGGGCCGCAGCTCGACGGCGCGAGGAGGAGGCCGCTCAGAGGCCCCTCCCCGCACCCCCCTCGCCCTGCTCGGCCGCCGGGCGGAGATCCGCCTGCCCGCCCGCCGCCCCCTCGCTCTGCCTCGTACTCGGACGGGTCGTACACACCGCCTCCGCTCGCGCACTCGCGCACGAAGCCAGACGCCCCCCCGTCCACGCGGCGAGCGGCCTGCCGCCGGGCGGGCCGACCACCCCCGCCCTCGCCCTGGAGCGCCCCCCCCTCGGAGGTCGCAGTCTCCTCCTCGGAGGTCGCAATCTCCTCCTCGGAGATCGCGCTCTCGGGCTCCGACGCGCTGCTGCCGTCGCTCCCCTCGCCGCCGCGGCGCGAGAGGAGGCCGAGCTCGCGCACGGCGGCGAGGCTGCTCGCCTCTGACGCGGTGTCGTCCTCGCTCCCCGCCTCGTCATCCGCGCCGCTGCCGCTGCCACTCTCCCTCGCCTCTCTCCTCGCAGCGCTGGCGTGCGAGGTGCACGCCGCCCCCCTCGGACGCCGCTCCTCGGCTGCGGCGGCTGCGGGCAGGCGCGGGCGCGCTGCGGACGCGTCCTGCGTCGACGCCGGCACGGCTGGCGCCTGAGGGCTGCTAGGGGAGGGGGGCGGCAGCGGCGACGAAGCCGACGGAGGCAGCGGCGACGAAGTCGGGGTGGGGCGGAGCCGCGCGTCGCACGAGAGCGGCGCCTCTGCCCACGCACCGCCCGCCTCGGCCAGGTTTGCGTCGATGCGCAGCGCCGGCAGGGAGTGCGCGCCGCCGGCCCTCCCCCCCGCAGGGAGAGGACGCATCCCGTGCGGCGCTCGTGGCGGCTCGGCGGGCAGAGGCGACGAGTCCTCCTCGCGCTCTGCCGAGCAAGACGACGCCGCGACTGGCGTGAGCTGCGGCTTGAGTGGCCGTCCTGCGGGCGGCGCACGCGAGGTGTCGCCGAGATTTCGCGAGATTTCACCGAGATTTCACGAGATTTCGCGTAGCCGAGATGTAGCCGAGGGACAGCCGAGGGACAGCCGAAGTGTAGCCGAGATGTAGCCGAGAGACAGCCGAGATGTAGCCGGGAGACAGCCGAGGGACAGCCGAGATGCAGCCGAGGTGTAGCGGCCTCACCTGCGGGCGGCTCGTAGTGCCGCGACGGGTCGAGGCCAGGGCCGACGACACCTTGCGCGAGATGTGGCGAGATAAGGGGAGGATACGGGGAGATGTGATGAGGCCCGGGCCGACGACACCTTGCGCGAGGGTGCGCTGCGCCGCCTGCACGTCGCCGTACTGCCGCTCGAACGACTCCTCCAGCTGCTGAAGCCTCTGCCGCCGCCGCTGCAGCTCCGAGTATCGCCGCTGCAGCACCAGCGAGGACGATGTCAGCCCTCCTCCTCCTCCGTCGCACGAGTCTGCACCGTCGCCCTCGCCGCACCAAACGCCTCGCCCCGCCGCCGCCGGCAGCGCGGTTCGGTGCGCGTCTGCGGCGGACGCGGCGGCGGCCCCTCGCTCCGGCGCTGCCAGCTCCGCCGCCGCCCGCGCCGTCGCGGCGGACGCCGCCGCGCTGCCGCCGCACCGGCAAGCGCGCGCCCACTCCCTCTGCCCCGGAGGCGGAGGCGCGGGCGGTGCGTGCATTCCTCCGGCGCGGCGGTGCGGCTTGCGCTGCTGCGCCGCCGCCGCCAGCGCCGCGCCGCCTCCAGACGGTCCTCCCTCCCTCTGCTCGACTGGTGCGGCGTGCGCGGCAGAGACGGCCCGGCTGGGCGGCGGCCGGGCGGCGGCCGAGGGCGCGGGGCCGCCGAGGGGGGAGAGGGGGCAACAGCTGCTCGCGGGCAGAGGGCGTGGGGGGGCGCTTCGGGGCGGGGAGAGCTGCGGCGCCAGCGCGGCTGCCGCGCCGCGGGCTGGGGGGGGGGAGCCCAGCGCGCGCAGGCTCGAGGGAGCGGGGGGAGGGGCGGCCGGAGGCGGAGGCGGAGGCGGAGGCGGGGGCGGAGGCGGAGGCGGAGGCGGCAGCGGTCCGGGCAGCGCGGCGGCCGAGCCCGCCGAGGCTGCGGGCGCGCCGCCCGCGGCGGCGGCCGGCGGCGCGGCGGCGGAGGCCGCTGAGGTGCCGGGTCGGCTCGGGGCGGGGGCGGAGAGGGCGAGAGACGTGCGAGGCCTAAGGAGGGAGTCGCGGGTTGCGTGGACGGCCCGCGAGGGCAGGGCGGCAGGAGGAGGAGGGGACGCCTCCGCGGCGCGGGCGACGAGAGGGCCGGCCCGCCGCTCCCCGCCTGCCCGCTGCTCCCCGCCTGCCCGCTGCTCCCCGGAGGCGCCGCCGCAGCCCACGAGGCCGGGGCCCACGGAGGCTGGCGCGGCGCGGCCGAGTCGAGGGCGTGCCCGCACGGCGAGGCGCAGAGCGAGGCGGCGGCGCCTCCCTCGGGCGACGCCGACGGCGCACCGCGCGGTGCCGCCTCCCCCTCCGCGGGCATGCTCGCGAGGACCGACTGCATGCAAAAGAGCCTGCGCGGGGGAGGCGCCAGCGTGAGGGCGGGAGTACGGTACCGTGCAGTGTCCTCAGAGCACCGCGTGAAGACACGGGCTGCGAGTACAGTCGATACGGCCGAATGCGGTCGAGCCCAGTTGAGTACGCCTCCTCTCGAGCGCTAGTCGGGATGCAAGTGTACGTATTCCGCTTCTAGGCAACAGCGCCGGTCGGCTGTCGGCACGCCCGAAGGCAGCTCGAAGCCGCGCGGGGCGGAGGCGCCGACGGCGAGGCCGGAGTGGCCGTCGGGCGCGCAAGGCGCGTCTCCGGGCGGGTCGCGCAGCGTGCAAATCCGCCGCAGCGTGCACGCGGACCCGATGCAGATGCCGTCGAGCCGGCCAAAGCCGGCGCCGCCAAAGTTGCACGAGACGAGGTCGACGAGGTCAAAGACGAGGTTGAGCCAGACGCCGCGCGCGACCGCGGCGAGCGGGATCCGCGTGTGCAGCGGCGTGCTCGCCGGCTCGCGGAACGACGTCGAGAAGAGGATCCGGCGGCGGGTCTTGCCCTTGTCGGACACGTGGAGCTCGAACGAGAAGGAGCGGTCGTCCGAGAGGAGGACCTGCAGCACGAGGAAGGGCTGGACGAGGCCGAGCGAGCGGCGCTCGTCCTTTGGCATCCGAATGGACGGACGGTCGCCGTCGCAGCGGAGCACGTAGCCACGCACGCTCTTGTCGTACACCTTCTGCACACCGGCGCCACTGACCTTCCACTTGTCGAGCGGGTTGGAGCCGGAGGCGCCAAACACATCCACCGACGCGCCGCCCTGGAAGACGTTGTCGAACGTCATTACTCGCCCGTGTGAGGGCGTGAGCAGGCCGGTCAACCAGCCACTGCTATGCAACCGGGCCCCCCCGCAGGGGCTAACAACCGTGCCCGGACGTTGCCAACCGCAAGGAAAAAAGATTTTTCGCTCTCGCTCGCACAACACTGCGCAGGACTGGCTCGCACTGGCACTAACACAGGAAAAAATAATGCGGAGTTTTTTCTTTGTTTCTTTTAGAGTCTGAGTGAGTATGTGTGTGTGTACTACTCACTCACTCACTTTAGAGTCTGACTCTTGTCAAGCACTGGGAAGATGGGTCGCTTATCTTTCGACCGCTTCATCGCCGCAATTTTTTTCAAGAATTCTCATGCGTTGTTTGCGTGTGTGTATATGGTTTCGCTCGTCGCCGCCTACGGCCTGCTCCTCCAACCGACAGCACGTCGGCCCTCGCCACTCCGGCGGTTCCTCTCTCCGGTGCTCGAGGCGCCTGCGCCGCTCGCCTCGCTGCTCGATCTGGCCGACGAGTACGACGCCTTTTTGCTCGACCAGTTTGGAGTCATTCACGACGGCAAGACGGCGTATGAGGGCGCAGTCGACGCCGTCTGCGAGCTGCAGCGCCGTGGCAAGAAGATCGTCATCATATCCAACAGCAGCCGCCGCAAGAGCGACACGCTCGCCCGCCTACGCTCCATGGGCTTCGGGCCGTGCGAGGGCGAAGGCGCCTCTGATGTCCCGCCCATCTCGGTCGTCACGTCCGGCGACCTGGTGTGGGAGGGCCTCTCGGCCGCTGCGGCCGCGCCCTTCGCCGATCTCGGCCTCAGGTGCACCGTCTTTGGCAACGGCGAGGACGACGAGGAGTACGTACGTACGTGCGGGCGGGTGGCGGTTCCGGTGGCGGAGGCGGACTTTGTGCTGGCGCGAGGGCTCTTCACGATCCTCGGGACCGGGCCCGACCTGCTGCGGCAGCCCTTCTCCCCGTACAGCGCCGACGCCGAGGAGGAGGCGCTGCGGGCTGCGCTGGCCGCGCGGCCGGGCGGGCTGCCGCTCGTGGTCGCGAACCCGGACACGGTGCGTCCCGACGGCAAGGACTCGCCGATGCCCGGCCTCCTCGCGGCGCGCTACGAGGCGATGGGCGCGACGGACATCCGGCCCGTCGGCAAGCCGCACCCGCTCATCTACGAGGCGTGCCGCGCCCAGCTCGCCATCGCCGGCATCGACGCGGCGGGCGCGCGCGTCGCCGCCGTCGGCGACTCGCTGCACCACGATGTGCTCGGCGCGAGCCAGAACGGCGTCGATTCGGTCTTCATCTGCGGCGGAGTGCACTACCGAGAGCTCGAGGTGCCTCAGGCCGCCGCCGTGCCGCCCGCGGCCGACAAGCTTGCCGCGCTGCTGGCGACCTTTGCTTCGGAGCACGGCGGTTGCACGCCGACTCACGCGCTGGCAGGGTTTCGCCTCTAGGAGAGTTGTCAGCGCGTGTCCGCGGCCCCGGGGGCTCTCTCTCTCTCTGCGACGCGTAGAGTACATATTCTACACTCGTGTGACGCCTCTGTGTGACCAGGAGATAGCCGCGAGTACGTATTCTACTGAAATATGTGAAAATCGTAAATCGAAAAAGCCGTATATACTAAACAATATTTGTTTGCATGCACGTGCTTGTACGTGCTTGACTCTTTATCTTCAACCTTCATAAATAAATAAATAAATAAAAACGGACACCTCTCTACTGTGAGATGGGTAAAAAGGAACAGGCCCCCTGTGCAGGGTTCTCTTTGTGGGTGTGGTCGGCGACTATAGCCGGGGTCGTCCTCCCGGTGGGGGACTAGCACTAGCCGTCAACCTTCATGACCCCCCCCCCCCTTCAATATAAATAAATAAAAACGGACACCTCTCTACTGTGAGATGGGTAAAAAGGAACAGGCCCCCGCCCTTGCGATCTTTGTGTGCAGGGTTCTTTGTGGGTGTGGTCGGCGACTAGCCGGGGTCGTCCTCCCGATGGGGGACTAGCACTAGCCGTCTTCCACATGGTCCCTCGGGTCCCTGCTGCTCCTAATCTCTTCGTACATCCTCCTGCTGATCTCCGCAAAGTCCTGCTCCCTCCCTCGTCTCGCCCTGCGCGTCTGCTCCGCCTCACCGCGTCTTCTGCCCTGCGTCGTCTCCTCGTCTGGCGACGGGTCCTCCATAGTCGGCCCCTTCAATATTCAAACGTTCATATGTCAAATTCACACCTCGCGGGACTACTTATGTTTACTTTTCGTAAACGTAGTCGTGGCCCCCCGCTACTTCGCACGAGCGCGACTGGGTAGCGGGGGGCTAAAATACTGTGTCATTGTCAACGTCCCGCGCCTCCGTGCGCGTCACCTGGTCCTGCCACAGCAGCCGCAACACGCGATATCTCTGGCGGTGTCCACGCCGAAGCCCACTCCCCATGCCCCGAGGTTGTTGTCAATCCCGGCGTCCGATATGTTCTCCACGATGGACTTGTCGAACAGGGACAGGCCACCGATGCAGAGAGGCAACGGGTGGTCCGTGCTTATTCGTTGGATCAGGTTGGCAATGATTTGCTGGGGCAGGGTGTCCTCGAGGAGGTCGGGGAAAGGGATCCCGAAAAGGCGGAAGTCGACGTCCCAGGTGATCTTTGGCTTGTCGACGAAGCCGATGGCCAGCCACATCTCTGAGAAGTTGGGAGAGAAGGAGAAGCGCAGTTGCACGACGGCATCCTCGATGCCGATGGGGGTTTTGTCCAACGTCACAGAGAGGGCGCGGAACCCAAGCCCGCCTTCGAGTACAAGCTTGATGGGGCGGAGCCGCACCGTGGCGCCGAGGTTGAGGAGGGCCGACACCTCGCGCACATCGATGCCGCCGGGTCGCGACGTGATCTTGTACCGCCCGGCGCTGTCCTTCAGCGCAAAGGCGCCGTTGGTCGACCACGCCTTGATGTTGCCGAGCGTAAAAGACATCTCCTCGATCACGAGGTGCCTGTGCCATGCCACATGATATGTCATGGACAATCGTGGAAGCCTCCCAGCCATCTCGTTGCCCCGCAAGTGCCTGTCCGCGTGGGGCAGCTTCGGGTCCGCCTTGATCCGATAGTGCAGCCCAGGCGGCGCTGGAATCTCCATGCCTTTCTCGAGCGCCAGCTTGGCGAGCGGCACATTGATCGACATCCGTATCGTGTCTTTGAAGGCGTCTAAGAGACTGCGTGCAAGGCAGGATGAGTCGGTCAGCACGGCAACGTGACTCGGTCAACCTCTGTGGCATTGTGCGTGCAGGGCAGGATGAGTCGGTCAGCACGGCAACGTGACTCGGTCAACCTCTGTGGCATTGTCGCAGTGCAGAGAGACAGATGTGTGCAGAGGGAGGGAGGAGGCGGTAGCAGGCCTACACACTCACTATGCGATGAGCTGGCCCGACTCTGCGCACATTTTCTCTGGTGGCGGCAGCAGAGGCCGCGTGTAATACTCCTGGTCGTGCTTGGGCGCCTCGTGGTCCACTTTGTGTGGCACTTGCGCCCGGATGGGCTGCGCGTCTTTGGAGCCATCCGCCGCCTGCGAGTGTTGTGCCCCCGCATCCGCACACTTGTCTGCACACTTCCTCGAGCACTCCGACGGTACCCTGCGCGCGCATTTGGCAGCAAACGAGCACACTGACCGATATGCGTCACCCACAAATTCAAACATTCCCCACCCGCGGTGCGAGGGGCATAATGTGTTCGCCCCGAGTAGCGAGTAGTCGGAGTTCCGGCGCGAGGGTGGGCAGTGCGGAGAGTCGTCCTGGCAAACTTATTAAGTAGCACCAGTTATCAAATTATGGCCCCCAGCTGATTAAAAAAAAGGAGCAGACGCGTTTAAAGACAGGGAGGGTTTGCTAAATACTTAGTATCATACTATGCAGCTGTTTTCGATCGACAGCTGTTTGTGGATGGAACTAATAAGGCGGGCGAGGAAAGACGAAGACAATTTATCAACCGACCGCACGGCGCACGTCCCACGTGCTGAGTGGGAGCTTGCGAGCTGCGAGGGAAAAAACAAAAAGGATTGTGTATCTAGTCAACATGCAAGCTCTGGGCCGGCGCGGGGGCCCCATAGGGTGTCCTTGCGGGGGGGAGATGGGGTCCCATGGCCCGCCTTCCACGGGAATCCAATTCGGCGTACTTGCGGCCATGCTATCACGCCTTGCGACAGCCTGTCGGCGCTGCTGACCATGCCATGATGCACAATTGATCACCTGCATAGCTCGCGGCCTTAGTATCAAGCATTCAGTGACGACCTGATCGTACGGCCAGTAGGAAGGTGTCCTTCCATCGTGTGCACGCTTCTGACGCAATGCGCGTCACAAACTGCCTCGGATTGGCTGCTGGCACTCTCGAGGCTATGCCTACACAGCCTCGCGCACATGGGCAGTCAAGAGGGACCACGCACTTCTCAGGACAGCGCCGGTGCCTCTCTCTTGGACCGGAAAACTTGGTGGTATCGTGTCACCAATGTGGGACCAGTGCGGCATCGCGCCATCGACAGCTCTGAACTGCGCCTCACCACTGACCGGGAAGGCCGCCAAGTGGGCCAGCACAGGTCGCACATTGTGGCAGCAGTCAGCAGTGCATGGCTGATAGCTAGAGCAGCAGCGTCAGGGTCGCAGGGCCGGATCGTGTCAAGCCTCTCGCCCGGCCGGCCGCGTGCAGACGTCGGCCTGTCTGCTGTCTGGAGTGATCTGTCGGCGGTCAGTACGACCAATCAGGTCGGAGTTTTCTGATGGTTGGAGGGTCTATCTGTATGTACTTCTCGAGATCTCTCCAAATCTACCCTCTACTTAACCGTACTTAATCGGGAAGTTGGTGCTCTGAGCGACTCTGAGCGCCGGGGCCTGAGCCCTGGCTGTCAGGCTGTCACGTGCTGTCAGGTGATCTGTCGGGCTGTCAGGCGCTGTCAGGCACTGTCAGGTGCGTCTGTCAGACCAGCTGTCAGGTGCTGTCAGTGCTGTCGGGTGCTGTCGGGTGCGTGTCTGACATCAGAGGTGCTCTCTGTAGCTGTCGGGTGCTGTCGGTCGGAGCTGTTGGGTGTTGCTGTCAGACGCTGTCAGAGCTGTCAGAGCTGTCGGGCTGCTGCTGCTGTCAGACGTAGGGCCGGTGCTGTCAGGTGCTGTCAGGTGGTGCTGTCGGGGTGCTGTCAGGCTCTGACACACACCAGCCATACTTATGACACTATCAAGAGGAGACCAGCAGGACTCTACTACACGTCTCTATACTCTGCCTCCGGTCCCACCATCTTCTTCATGGTGGACGTCACCAGATCTTCTTGTCTGCCGCACTGAGAGAATGAATAGCAGAGAGGAAGGTTGGAGTGCTTCTTCAGGTACACCTTGCTGATGATCTGGTAGTTGTTGGTCCAGCGGAAGGCCTCCCCATCGTTGTCGCTTATCAGCTTGTAGTACTTGCACGCTCTGTTCTGGTAGCGCGGGCCGTCTGGGGGGTCCCGTCACCCTTCACCTCACGGTACCACCGGAGGATAAAGAGGCCCTTGGGGTCGTTGATGAAGACCCCGTTGCTGCGCTGACTCATCGAGAGCTCGCGCAGGTCTGTGCTGCTGTCGGGCTGGTCGTCGGGCTGTCGGGCTGTCAGCGCTGCTGTCAGGCCACTGTGAGCTGTCGGGCTGTCGGGCAGCTGTCAGGCTGTCACGTTAGGGCCTGACAGCGACGGGTCACCTCTGATGTCAGACTCTGCTGTCAGGCTGTCAGATATATGTCTTATGTGTGCTGTCTGTGTCAGGCGGTCAGGGAAAGTGCTGCCAACGTTGTCAGGCTGTCGGGCACTGTCAGGCGCTGTGTCCGGGGTTTGCTGTCAGGCTGTCAGACCAGGGCTCAGGCCGGGGCCCCGTTTCCGCACTGCTGCGCGGCGCACGGTGTGGGCCGGGGGCCCCCGCGCCAGCCGCCCACCCCAGAGCATGCACAAGCGACAGAGCAACTGCAAGGCTCGAAGTCTCTCACAACACTACTCATTAGGGTCTAGGCACGGAAGAAGGGCCTGTGTCGTTCCTCCATCTCCTTTGGTGCGCGTCCGTTTCCCCAAAAATCTCTCGGGGGGAAGGGGAAGGGGGGGGGGGGGCGGAGCGCGCTTACAAGTTGCGAGTTTCCAATCGAGATCGGAGCGCTCGAAATGGAAGAATATCAATGTGTCCGTAACAAGTTCTCATGGTGCACGCCTGATGGGCTCCGCTCTAGAAGCGCAGTGACGTGCCGGACTTCTGGCGCCACTTGTATTCCAAGTGAGCGCTCAGCTGACAGCGAAACTCGCGTTGCAGAGCCGGCTGCTTGTGGAGGTCACGCCACGGAAGTGGCGGGTCAAACTCATTCGCGCAGCACACCTGCAAGTGGACACCGGCAGAGTACATCATCGCCGTGTTGCTGTAGCTGCTTATGGATCCGACGAGTACATCGGCGCCGATGAGGTGATCAATCGTAGCCAGGGGGTCCGAGTCGAGGTGCAAGCGAACCGGCCACGTGGAATTGAGCCATCTCGGGAGCGCTGCAAAGTCAGCGGCGAGGCCCTCCGACATGACATGCAGCTGTGGCAGCAGCAGCCTCCCCAGCTGAGCCCACGTTGCGCGCAGCCCCTCAACCTCGGCGATCAAGGCGCGCAGTGGGTGCTTGTACGAGTCCATTTGGATGAAACGCCCTGGGTCGACACTCCGGAGGTCACCGCGGCGCATGTGCACCGCGATCTCCAGCGGCATTGTGCCCGCCCTCGCGGGCTGGAACCAGTCGAGCGAGCGTTGTGCGGGCCTTGCAGTCCCCCGTGATGGCTGATACTGGCCGCCAGCAAAAGGAGGACAGTGCGCGTGCTGTTTCGGGGTCTGGGGGTCAAAGTAGGCAGCGCGCAGGGAGACTCGAGCCTGCAAGTAGCGGCAGCGGTCGAGAGCAGCCGGAAAGTAGATCGGATCCGAGCCGCATGTCACGCCCTGCCCTTCGCTTTGACGCTGCCATTGCTCCACTCGATACAAGAAATGCGTGCGAGCGGCCAGAGAGAGCAACGCTGCGGTGCCATTTCGCGGGGCTGCTGCCGCAATGAATTTTGCTCCAAGCGCCTCAAGGCGCGTGTTGTTGCGAAAAATGTTCGGATGCAGCGACGGGCACCCTTCCCCCCAGCTCTGTTTCCGCGACCGAATCCGACATACTGACTCACTTGCGAGCGCGTCGATCGGCGCACCGATCGCGCCGCTGAGTCGAAAGTGGTGCTCTGCCGCGCCGGGCTTCACGCCGTGTTTGGCGCTGCGAGCGTTCATTGGCAAGATTGGGGCATGTTCGAAAGCGCAGTTCAGCATAAACGCTGCGACGAACAAAGAGAGCCGGCGATTCATCTGCGAGCCCATTCCGTCATTCCGATCCCGCCCTATTTTCATCATGCACGTGGCGGACTTGCGCTCGCCACAGCCGGTTCGCTCGACGCGATCAAGCTGCTCTGCGAGCGACACGTACATGCTATTCTCCCCCGCCGAGCAGAGAGCCGGCTGCGACGGGATGGTGTCTGGCCACAGAGACTCGACCGAGCGGCGTCCGAGCCATCTCTCAAAGTTGTAGTGAGCCCAGCCAGCCACCAGAAAGAAAACCCCCCACGGCATCTGTAGCCACACGGAGCGACTCCGGCAGTTCCCAACACGCAGCGACTCCTGAGGCGACTCCCGACACGACTCCGCGGTCGGCGGCTGGTCGGCGGCGGGCCCGTCAGGGTTCCCTCCCCTGCGGATACCTTTAGTCTGTGACTGACTCGCGCAAAACGCCCTACCCACCTACCTATTGCGGGCACCAACCGCCAGGCTCCGTGATACCTACCTATTCCCACGCAGGCCGCGCAGCGAACGAAGCGAAAAATACCCGTTGAGCCCCCTGTGAATAGGCTCCCAGCGCCCGCCGCACCCGACCGGCGTCCCAACCGCAGGCGACTCGTCTGGCATCCCCCGTTCGCGGCTAAACGCGCCGTCTCCCGCCCGCGCGAGCGAACGAAGCGGTTTCCCCACTCCTCTCTTGGGTGAAATTCTGAAAAACGTGCAGCACTTCTAGCCAACATCGACAAAAGTCACTCTCTAGCCCCGCGGCGAGCGGCCCCGCCGGAGGCGAAGAAAATTTTGCCATCTAGGCGCTCTCTAACACACATTTTTGCACAAATCGACACCTCCAAACAAGTCAATAAGACTGGTCTTCACTGCAGCACGCCTCGAGCGAGTAATGCGTCTGTAGGCCAATAGAGTAGAGCTTCTCGCGCGCGCTCCTCAGCTGGCGGTCCGCAGGGCCGCCCGGGCCGGGCGAGAAGCGCAAGCCCGCCAGCCGCACCATGTGATTCACGATGATGAGCGTCTCGGCCTCGAGCAGCGTGTAGGAGCGAAGCTTGCCCTCGCACTCGCGTTGCTCGAGCCTGAGCCACTGCGCCTTGACCACGAGATAGCCCGCGGGGATGGTGTCGGTGTTGACGACCGTGTCCTCGGCCAGCGTGTACGCCTTCCCCTTGAGCACCGCCAGCCAGTAGAGCCCCTCGAGCGACTGCTCGCGCCGATCTGCGCGGCCAGCGGCCAGCTGCTTCGCCTTGAGCGACGCGGCCCACACCTCCAGCGACTCCATCTGCCGCAGCTCGGCCGTCTCGCCTGCGGCACGCGGCGCCTTCTGCTTCTTGACCCTGCCAAAGACGGCGACCATCTCGCAGTCCCCCCAAAGAAGAGCGATGCACGGCGGGCACGCGCATGGAATACCGCGCCTGTGACAGGGAGCCGGTGCGGGGGTCAGGAGGGGCGCGTGACGTGCGGCAACACACGGCACACTACACGGCACGGCACGATGAGCATAACATGGCTCAATACTAGCGTACGTGGTCAGGAGACCATCCTTCCGCGCGGCGGCCGCATCCTTGCAATCCCCCGCGAACATGTGGACGTCGTGTGAGCCGTTGAAGCCATCAGCCTTGGGGACGGCAAGGGCGGTGAACTTGGAGTGCTGAAAGAAGCCGTAGAAGATGCGCTCGATCGCCCACCAGCCCTCCTTGAACGACTTCGCGACAGCCGGGGTCGCTCGTGCCTTGGCGAGATAGAGGACGACGTTGCGAGAGCCGGAGAATATGAAATTGCCCGACCGGATCGCCTCAGTGATCGCGTTCGACGGCAGGTTGCTCAGCGCATCGCAGATGTTTTTGCCGTGCATTGACTCGAGCGTCCAGTGCACGCGCAAGATGCCGAATTTGGTGAGCCACTCGGCAGTCTGATGGTAGTTGTCTTTCCCATCGAACTGCGCGGCACACGGATCCGTCAGGGAGAGCTTCCGCTGGTAGTCGGGAAAGTCGGTTACGGGGAGGGCTACTACGAGGTCTCTGCGCGGGATGTGCTGGGGCCCTGCGCCCCAGTCGATTGCCGCATAGTTCTTCGTAGTAACCCTATCATAAACCTCATATTCACACCTTGCACTTTGAAAAAAAGAAATGTCCTGCTTTTGTCGAAGATCCGGAGGGTTTATCGGAGCATCACCCTCTTCGGGTCCCCCCCCCCCCCCCCCACACACACACCACTACAACTGTACCTACCTGCCTATTGCGGGGCCCTCTGGGCCCTCTGGGGCGGTCAAAACCGGGCCTATCTCCTATTGCATAGGGTGTAACGGGTGGGGACAGCCCCTATCTGGGTAGGAGCCGGAACCCAGTGGCTAAATAAAAATAAAAAAGGTCAAACTCGGAGACGAGATGGGATTTAGGACACCTTGGTGTGAGGGATCTTCATCCGTCCCCTGACCCTGGAGAGCGGCGAGAGTTGGGGCTGCGGACGGCTGCGGCTGCGGGAGGGGCTCTGGTCGCGGGAGAGCCGCTGCGCCGCGTGGACGCGCCTACACCGCTCTTGCTCCGCTCGCCACCTCTCGCAAAGCGGTCCAAAGTCATAGCCACCACCTCCTCCGGTAAGTCCTTTTGCCGTATCTTGCCGTCTCTCCACGCCTGGAAGAGCTCGTCTCCATAGCCGCATTGCATCACAGCCTCCTGCACTGCATCGTGTAGAACCCCTGCCACCCTATGCCGCGCCTCAGCGTCGGAAAAGTCGGGCTCGGAGTCATACTCGGAAGCAGGCGCAGACGCCAGACCCAGACGGCCGCGGGGATATTTATGGCAGGCGGCGAGGTGGGGGAGGGAGAGCGCGGCGGTGCGCGTTCGGTGCTCCCGCTGTTGCCAGAAGGGCAATCGCCCAATGCGCTCAGCCTGTTCTTGTCCACCTCACCATGGGAGAGGGGTGGGGGTGGGTTCTTGATGTGCGACATTGTCACATATGTGATGGTGATCCATTGATGGTGATCCTGATCGCCCACAGAGTGTGCAGAGAGGCCGAAGATTAAAAAGATTTTTTACGCCTGCGTACTGAGCACGCTCAGCAAGCGGCTGCCTCGGGTCGCTCAGCGTTGGCTGCTCAACGGTAGTCGAGACTCGATCGTGCCCTTCCACGAGTTGCAGTCGAACGAGACGTGGGCCTTGCTCCACTCGCGCGCAAAGACGCGCGAAGAGGTCGACGTCTCGGCGCACAGCTCGCGCGGCTCGCCATAGTCCGCGTCGAGCTCGGAGGGGCGCTCGTACGTCCCGGCTGGGTCGCATAGGCCGCGCGGATCCTCCGCGGTCAGGTTGCAGCTGACGCAGCCCACCCATCCGAAGCCGATCCAGCCATACGGGCCTCGCGTCAGCAGGAAGGCGGCGACGTCGTCGGTCGGCGAGGGAAGCGGCCTCGACTGGGCGCCCGAGAAGCTGAACAGCGTGGCGGAGAGCTGCGCCTGGCTGTCCGCGCGACAGGCGTCGCGGAAGTACGCGGCGCACTCTTCTGCGGCTCGAGGCGGCGCGCCCACCGTGCGAAAGAGCTGGTAGATCCAGCGCCCCGCCTCGAGCGCGGCCGCGTGCACCTGCGACAGCGTCTGCAGCCAGCCGGCGGTGATGGCTCTCACGTCCGCATGCGAGAGACCCATGTCCGCGACGCATCCTGGGTGGACTTCGGAGGGTCCGCCGTAGGGGCTCGCCGTGCAGAAGCCCTCGGGAGGCCCCCACGAAGGGTTGGGCAGCGGTGAATCATACCACTCGTCGTCCAGGAAGAGGCCGTCGATCCCTCCGTGGCCGAGTGCACTGGGTCCAAAGACGTACTCTTCGAGCAGCCACTGGCGAAGCGAGCTGTTGCGGTGATCCCACAAGTACTCGCCGCACGGCAATGACCTGCCGCAGTCGCACTCCTCGAAGCAGCGACCGTCGGCCGCGATGTCCGTCGACGGCGTCTGGTCCTGGTCATGGAAGAGCCGGCTGCATTTTCGGCCAGTGCACTCGGGCGACGAGAAGTTGGCGCCGCCGCTCGTTCGATAGTGCAAGAACCAGCCGGAGTACGCGGGGTCCTCGAGCTTCTCTCGCACTGAGCCGAACCACGGGAGCGCCTTGACGAGGTTTCGGTACACAAAGATCCGAGTGGACGGACTGGCCGCCTTGACCGCCTCCGCCTGCCGCGCGAGCAGGGCCTCGCAGTCCATCGGCTTGTCGTTCACCCAGACGAGCTTGGCGTTGGACCAGTCAAAGTCGGCAAGCCCCCATTGAGCAGCCGTAGGCACGTCGAAAAAGCCAGAGTAGTTGCATGGCATGGCCGCGCTCGATAATCGCATGTCATACGTCGGCGCCCATGGAGGGACAAGGTGTCGCGCCGCCATGAGAGCGTCCCACAGCACCCGCGCCCGGTGTTCGCATTTTTTTTGTTTCTGAAGGGGCTCGGCCTCAACCACTCATAAAAGAGACGGAGGAAAATTTTCTTTTCCTTATCACAAGATTCTCCTCAAAAAATAAAAGGGTGAGCTTAACGGCCACAAGAATGCTTCCACAGCGACCTGGAAATGTGGCACACACAGTGATTTGGGCTCGGCCGGCAGCTTGTCGACTACCAAGAATCTCTCTCTCCGACTACCAGCCGGAGCCGGAGTCGGAACCGTAGCCGAGATGGTCGTCGAGGGTCTCTCTCCACTCTCGACCGGGGTCAGGGCTCTCTAGCCCGTAGCCCGATACCGATCATCCGGCCCGCTGGCTGCGCTTCTCAGCTCCCCGGCCCTGGATGTGAGGTTACTGACTGCACTCCAAGTGCTCCAAGACCTGCGCTCCGTCGCCGCCGCCAGACGCTCATCGTGCCTCCGTCACCTGGTGAAGCGCGGCAAGCCGATCGCTGGCGTGGCATCCGTCTTGCAGCCGTCACGACGAGGCCTCCGCCGCCTGTGCCGCCGAGGCTGTCGACGAGCCGGGGCTCGGAGTATGCGTGCCGGTCGAGGTCGACGCCTGGACGCACGGCGAGGCGGCTGTCACGGCCGCCGTGCGGCGGCACATATGCACTGCCACCTTAAAAGAAGCAAGAGAAAAAAGAAAAAAACGAAAACAGCTCGGCGGCGGTGGAGGCGGCGGCGGCCGCGGCTGATCATCTCTCCTCCACTGGGGCCGCAGCGGTCGTCTTCACTGTGCAAGAAGGCACGGAGCCGTCGCTGCTGCGCTCGTGCCTTCATGCATGCGCGGCCATCCGGGGTGCGGGTTGCCGCCGGCGCCGACCCGGCGCTGCTCGTCGCCGCTCGAGACGAGGGCGCGACCGACTTTGTCTCGTGCTTGGCGGGCAAGGCCGCGCCCCGCCCCTCGGCAGTGCTGCAGGCGCTGGGTGTGCGGCCGCCGGACGCCAACTTTGGGACTCTGTTCCTCGCGGAGCACGTGCCCAACCAACGCCGCGTGAGTGAGCGCGCGCGGTGCAGTCGGCGCCCGTTTGCCCGCGGACGCAATGGTTGGGTAGTAGGGTTACAGGGTCGCTCAATACTTAGCCAGGGCGCTCGGCTGCCCGTCGGACAGCAGATCGTCCTAGGTAGGTAGGTAGAAAGGTGAAGAACAGCCAGGCTCGTCCTCGCACACTTTCGGGACTCAAAAGAAATCACCGCTGCGTCTGCTAGGCGGCTTTCGGTCGCTCGGCAGTATGCTTGCAGCTTTCGCCGCTACGCTCTCGTTCGTGCAGCCGTCCATCTCGTCGGCGGCCGCGCGGCACACCTGCTGTCGCGGCGGCTGTGTGCGCTCAATCGAGTGGCCGCCCGCTGGGATCGTAATCACCGTGTTGAGTGGCATTGCAATCTTTGCCCGGCCGGAGTCGCCGCTTTGGGATCTGATACAGCCCGAGGCCGCCGTTGTGCGCGTGCCGGCAATTTCGTCGCTCTGTCGGGACGACGGCTGGGAGCTCCGCCTCTCCATCGGCCGCGACATGGCTCAGTCAGTTGACGTGGCGCTGCAGGTTCGCTTCGAGCGGGATGGCCGGTTCGGTGAGTACCCGCAGGGCACTGCTGCGCTGCGACGGCCGAGCAAATTCTTTGCTTCCACCGGCCTCTGGAGCGCGGTGAGCGAGGCCGGGGATGAGCGGCACTCGCTCGAGATGAGGCTCGAGTGCGGCGAAAGTAGATGCGGATATCCCAAATTAGCACTCGAGACGGCACGTCCGTTTCCTGCATGCGGTGCTCACGTGTCTTGCACGAGACCGCATCGCGCACCCTCAGTCCGGCACCCTCCACTCTCCAGGTGCTCCGGGCTCGGCCGCGACGGCGAACAAGGGTCCCGCCCGGACCCCCGTCGAGTGATTAGTCATTGGTTATTTTTTCATGATAGGCGAGGAGTGGATCCCGCCCGGGCCCCTCTTCCTGACCGCCTCTCTCGAGGTGGAGGAGCCAGCGACGCGACGGCTCACAGCTTGCCCTCTCTAGCGCGGGATTTCTTTTTATTAGGCGGATGAGCGAGCGACGCGGCTCGCGGCGCCTAGATGCGGAACGGCCCGTGTCCCGACTACACTGCACGGCACTTGCTCTTCCCTCCCTCAGTCCACTGAGTGCTCATACACCAGGCTCGCGGCGCTCGGCGGCGGTGGAGAGGCGACGGTGATCAGATTTGACGAGGGGCGGGTGACGGCAAAGGAGTATGGCGCGTTCGGCCGGTGGACGGGCCTGTCGGAGCTCAGGGTTGTCGGCTCTCTCGAGGCGAGGCCGCTTCAGCCTTCCCAGACATGATCTGTCGGCGGGTGACGAGAGAATGTGCAGCGCGGCGCCGGCGGCGACGCACGAGCGTCGAGCGACGAGCGTGACCATTCGACAATCATGCTATAGTATACTGAATACTGCACAATTTTATCACAAACAACACGCGCGCACACATATCATAATTCATATCACATTTTTAATGAGGCGGCGCAACACGACAAAAACTGAGACCCGTCCCGGTGTTATCGCCGGAGCGCTGGGCAACAGTAGGCCGTTTCCTCGTGATTGATGACGCGGGCGGTGGTCTGCCGGTGATCCTGGACACGGCGCTGGGAAGTGGGATTCTTGACCGACAGAGGAGAGACAGCAGCGACCAAGGGAAGGCGACCGAAGTAGGGCGCCACAATCAATGGTGATCTCCCGAACAACTCCGGGGAGTGTCACTCGTACACTCCCCGGAGTGTCGGTGCAATCGCTGTGCGCGATGCGTGAGCAGTACACCGTTTGGATGATGACGTGATGATGCTTGATTGGTATCGGCTAATATGCAACAATCGTAATGCAATGCTATCTCCCGGCTTTTTGAGAAATGATCCCTCAAAGACAAAGTCGAGTTATATGGTTCACTCTAGGCCAAGTACTGTTTGCGTTTCCTCAAACGAATACTAGTCTCGAGAATCACTATCTAAGCTTCTTATGGGGCACCGCAGAGGCTCCCTTGACTTGGGGATGCCTGAGGCCACCCCACCCACTCACCAAGGAGCCTTGAGAAAGAAGCCGTGGGTGGGCGTATTCAAACCTCCTTTTATGGGATACCTACATTATTATGCGAGTGTAGGGCTGTCAAGGGCCTCGACTGACACCGGCCAACTGGAAGTTGTGCCGACGTCCGTAAAAAGAAAGAAAGAAAACGGTCACCCCAAGGGAGGGATGAGGACGGCACGCCGCCACCACACAGGGATTTTAAGGAGAGGGGTGTGGTGCACTAGCCGTCGCACACCCTTGGGCCTCCGCCTCTTGCTATCTCTCTTCCGACGTCCGTTCCTTAGGTAGCGTGGAATTTTCTTCCGTGTCAACCCGTACAACGATGTCAGCGCCACTGTCGTCTGCGGCGGCGGCGGCGGCCATCGCCGTGCTCGAGGAGTGCCACGGTGCGGCGTCGGCGGAGCGGAGGGCGTCGGCCCTCGCCGCGGCGCGCGCGGCTGCCGCGGCACTCGCAGCGGGCCGGCAGCCGGGCACGAGCAGCGCGGCGGCAGCGTGCGCAGCCTGCGCCGGGCCGTCCGCGGGAGGCGGGTCGGCCGCCTCGGGGAACTTCGCCGCCGCGGCGCAGGCGGCCGCCGCGGCGCTCGCGGCGAATCGCGGCGCGGGGAGCGGTGCTCGACCAGCGGCCACGCCGGAGGATGAGGCGCGGTTTGCAGAGGCGAAGCGCGCCGAGGCGGCGGCGGCGTTCGCGCAGTCGCTGCAGCAGGGGAAGCGGCCGCGCTGGGGCGGGCCGAACGAGCTCGCGACGCGCGACGCCGAGCAGGACGAGAAGGACGAGGCCGCCAAAGCCAAGGCGCTCTCTGGCACTCCCACAACACCGGCCTGGCTACCCGCACACTCTACTCTCACTGCCGCTGCCGCCGCACCGCCGCCGCCGCACCGCCGCCGCCGCCGCACCGGCCCGTGACGCGGCCCCGACCCGCCCGTCGCGTGCGCACACAGGCGCGGCAGGCGATCGCCGTGTCGGAGCTGTCGTCGAAGCTCGCCGCCTTCCGCAAGGACCGCGGCGTCGAGACCCAGGGCCTCGCTGTGACACACTCGGTCCGGATCGACCTCCCGGAGAGGACCCGAGAGGGCCCGAGAGGACCCGGGAGGACCCGGGAGGACCCGGGAGTAGGTCCGGATCGACATCCCGGAGGTTGCCGAGGCGAACCGCTTCAACCCGGAGGGCGGTTTCGAGCGGAACTGGGTCGCCATCCTGATTGGCAAGGAGGGGATCAACAAGCGGCGCTTCGAGGCGGAGACGGGCGCGACGCTGTACCTGCGCGGCAAGGGGACGCGCCTGCGCCACGACGGCCCCAAGGAGATCAAGAAGGCGGGGCGCGGCCAGTACCGCGTCGAGGACAAGGAGGACGCCGAGCCGATGCATGTCCTCCTCGAGGCCGACACGGAGGAGAAGCTGTCGAGGTGTGAACGGCGTCTCCTCACGGCTGCAGCTGTGAACAGGCCGACACGGAGGAGAAGCTGGACCTCGCCCGCGTCAAGCTGTGCTCGGGAGCCTAGAAGCGGAGCACAAGAGGAGCACACCGAGCGGACGCGTATTCCGCCCTCTTCCGATGCACCGCTCGCTGCCCCTCGCACTCAGACGGTGCTCCGAAATCCGCGAGACCGCCTCCCTTACCCCCGGCCTCGGCGCATTCTCGGCGCAGGCTCGGGATCCTCGAGCCAAAGGGCGAGTCGACGTCGCTCGCGCTGTACGACGATACGCAGCTCACCAAGCTCGCGATGGCAAAGACGGTCCACAAGGAGGAGTGCGCGTTTTGCGGAAAGGAGGGCCGCCACCACGCCTCCGTGCTACTTTGGAGTCGGTCATTCACGATCCTCCCGCCTGGTTCCTCATTCTTAGGAGGGCCACCACCACTCGGTCTGCCCCAACCGGAGGACCACCTTCCAGATGGCCGGCGTCCGCTGCTCCGTCTGCGGGTGACGCACCCTCGCCCTCCCCGCCGCCGCCCTCGCAGTCCGCCGCCCTATCCACCGCCGCCCTCCCCACCGCCGCCACAGCCCGCCACCTCCCGCCCCGCCCCGCCCCGCCCCGCCCCAGCTGCCGACTCGACGCCCCCGCGCCTCGTGCGCCGCAGGTCGGCCGGCCACTCGGCGCGCGACTGCAAGGGGGACCGCTCCGGCGCAGTCAAGCTCGTGCCAACGAGCGCCGCGCCGAGCACGCTGGCCGACGCCGACTACGCCGCGTTCCTCTCCGAACTCGACTCGCGCACCACCCGGTAGCCGCACTGAGGCCGCGGGCGCGCGCGTATCAGCTCCTTGTTGGCTTACTTTTTTGCAAAAATCCAAAAATTCAGGAATGAGAGGAAAAGCACTATGCAGCACAGTCTGTGTACGCGTGTTACTCCTTTTTCTCGCGCCGTCACCTCCGGCGCGGCTTTGCTGCCACGCCGGCGCCCCCTCGCCGCGGCCGCGGAGGCCGCGCCAGCTTGCGGTCGAGCAGGGCGGAGGCCTCGTCGGCGGTCACGTTGAAGACGGTGAGGTTGCGTGGGAGGGAGGCGAAGACGGGCTCGTCCTTGGCCCCGTCTCCGTCGAGGCGAACGTACCCTCCGAAGCGGCCGTACCCGACCCGCATCGCGCCGCCCCGCCGCGGGTGGTCGCCCAAGTACGCGGGGAGCGAGAGCAGCCGCAGCGCCGTCTCGAGGTCCACCGCCTAGTGAGTCAACACACTGACGCCTCATTGATTCATTCGCCGCACCGGCGTCTCGAGGTCCCGCCGCCTCGGCGTCGAGCTCGGCGGGCAGAGTCGTCCGCTTGCGCGGCACCCTCTCGCGCAAGTCGGGCGCCTCGAGGAGGCGCGGCACCAGCTCCGCCTTTCGCCCCGAGGATGGCATCCCGCGCGCCTGCGGGGGACATGCCATGGACGCGTCGTGGACGTGCCCCTCCCGAGGAGGGCGCTGGTCACGCGCCTCGAGGAAAGGTCTAGGAAAGGTCCAGGAAAGGTCCAGGAAAGGTCCAGGAAAGGTCTAGGAAAGGTCTAGGAGGGCGCTGGTCGCGCGCCTCGAGCTCCGACCGCAGCTGCGCCACCTTGAGCTTGGCCACGTCTGGCAACGCCGTCTTCTCGGCGGCGGCCGCCGCGCTGCCGCCGAGCTGCACGTACGGCCCAAAGGGGCCCCGGCGCAGCGACACCTCGAGGCCGGTCTCCGCGTCGCGCCCGAGCTCGCGGCTGGCCTCTATCAGCTCCCCGCCAGCCTCGCCGGCGCCGCGGCCGAACGGGCGCGTGTACGAGCAGGCCGGGTAGGACGAGCAGCCGACAAATGGGACTGAGCGCGAGAACTTGATCTGCAGCCGGCCGTCGGGGCAGCGCGGGCAGGCGCGCCGCCCGTCGGCGGAGCTGCCGCCCCCCTCGCCCCCCTCGCCCCCCTCGCCGCCCCCCTCGCTGCCCGCCTCGCCCGTCGCGGTGTCCGCAGGGGCCTCCTCCCCCGGGAAAAGGAGCCTGCGCCAGAGAGCGCCGCGAATCAAGGGGAATGGGAGCTCAACCACCGGCGGCGGGCTCCTCCGGGCAGGGCGGGGGTTAGGAACCAAGCCAGCGACTCGACGACCGTCTCGCGGAGCGCCTGCGTGTCTGCCTGCATCACCTGAGAGGCACAATCCAGTACGCATTGCTGGACGGCCATTCGGAGTCGTCGCCTCCGTGTCTGCCTGCATCACCTCGTCGGACATGGGGAGATATGGGGAGATATGGGGAGATATGGGGAGATATGGGGAGATACGGGGAGATCATCTCGTCGACGGCGGGGAGATATGGGGAGATATGGGGAGATATGGGGAGATATGGGGAGATCACCTCGTCGACGGCGGGGTGGAACTCGGCCCACCACTCGGACAAGAAGGCGGCCGAGTCGAGGTCAGACGCCGAGATGGCGTCGAGCTTGGCCTATCAGTAACGAGCAAGGATTACTAATTAAGAATGGCAAAAAAGAAGGAGAAGAGCTTGGCCTCGAGGGAGGCGGTGTACTCGTAGCCGACGTACCTAATCACATGTTACCGATGACGCGCCAACCGTTCATCGTTGCCTGGCGGTGTACTCGTAGTTGGCGTACCGCTCCAGCTGGGAGGTGAGGAGAGCCGTCAGCATCTGGCCGAGCGGCAGAGGGCGGAGAGAGCGCGAGACGAGCTCGGCATACCCCCGGTCCTGCAGCAGCTCGAGGGAGAGGTGGGGAGACGTGGGGAGACGTGGGGAGAGATGGGCATGCCCCCGGTCCTGCAACAGCTTGAGGATGACGGCGTAGGTCGACGGCCGCCCGATCCCAAGCTGCTCGAGCCTCTTGACGAGCCCGCCCTCGGAGTACCGCGGCGGCGGCGCGGTGAAGTGCTGCGACGGCTGCGCGCGCACCAGACACAGCTCGTCCCCCGCCTGGGGAGATATGGGGAGATATGGGGAGATATGGGGAGATCATCACGAGACACAGCTCGTCCCCCGCCGTCAGCGACTCGAGCACCGCAGCCTTGGCCTCGGCAGCCGCCCTCGCCGCAGCCGCCCTCGCCGCCGCGCCGCCCGCCGCCGCGCCGCCGCCCGCCTCGTCCACCTCGTCCACCGCCTCGCCCGCCGCACCCTTCGCCCCGTCGTCGTCGCCCGCGCCCTCCCCTCCCTCTGCGCCGCCCGCGCCGCCCGCCCCGCCGGCCGGGCGGAGCACCGCCTCGAAGCCCTCAAAGACGCGGCGCGACGCCTAGACAGGTTCCAGAAGGTTCTGAGAAAATTCCTGGAAAGCTCCTGGCCTCAAAGACGCGACGCCGACGAGCGCGCGGTGCCGGCGCCCTCGGCGGCGAGCGAGATGGAGAGCGCCTCGTGCCGCGCGGAGGCCTAAACATCGTCCACCCGGTGATCATTATGAATCAGAGAGACGGAGAGCGACCCGGGCTGCGGCGAGGGCCATCTGCGACGCGACGGCGCGCCGCCAGATGAGCTCGTACAGCTGCGCCTCCTTCGGAGGCAGCAGACCCTCGAGCGAGCTCGGCTCGACCCCAAAGTCGACCGGCCGTATCGCCTCGTGCGCCTCCTGCGCATTCTTCCGCTTGCGGTCGACGAAGCGTCGCGGCTCGGCTGGCAGCCAGTCTTCCGCCGGCGAGAAGCGCGCCTAGTCACAAGCTGCTCCTCCGTCACTACTCACTAGTACTCAGCCAGCCTTCCGCCGGCGAGAAGCGCGCCTAGTCACAAGCTGCTCCTCCGTCACTACTCACTAGTACTCAGCCAGCCTTCCGCCGGCGAGAAGCGCGCCGTGACGAGGCGCCGGGCCGCGCTGATTGCGTCCTCGCTCATCACGAGCGAGTCTGTGCGCATGTACGTGATTAGGGCGCGCCGCTCGCCTACCGGAGATGACCCGAGATCACCCTAGATCGCCCGAGATTGTGCGTGAGGAGGGCGCGCCGCTCGCCTCTCAGCTCCACCCCCTCGTAGAGCCTCTGGGCCAGCTGCATCACCACGCCGACCGGCAAAGAGAGGCGCGCCTGGTGATTGATTCGTAGTCAGCACTCGTCAATCGGTAATCCTCCCCACGCCGGCGGGGAGAGGCGCGCCGACGCGTCGAGCTGCAGCGCGGCGGTGTTGTACGGCGGCGGCGGCTTCAGCTGGCGACTCGAGCGCTTGACCGCCGTCACCCGCCACGGCGCGGCGCCTGTTCTCAACGAGCAATGCTCATGCTCGTAATCCATCCTCAGCCGCCACCCGCCACGGCGCGGCGCCGGCGAGCAAGGCCGCGGCGGAGGCGGCGGCCTCCCCGTTGGGCAAGCCTGGCGGAGCAGAGGCTGTGCGTGAAGAGTGCGTGAAGAGTGCGTGAAGAGGGAGGAGAGCGGGCGACTTCGCGGCCTCGCGCAAGCTGTGCCTTGGCTGTGTCTCGGCTGTGTCTCGGCTGTGTCTCGGCTGCCTCTCGGCTGCCTCTCGGCTGTCTCTCGGCTGTCTCTCGGCTATCTCTCGGCAATCTCTCGGCCATCTCTCGACGAGCTCTCGGCTATCTCTCGGCTATCTCTCGCCGAGCTTGCCCAGCGGCTCGCCACGCAAGGTCGTCGGCTCCGCCTCGAGCAAGCCGCCCTCCGCCGCCCCCTCGCCTGCCGGCGTGCCGGGAGGGCCGAAGCCGAGAGCGATCCGCCAGTACTCGCTCGGCGCGAAGCGCAGCACCTCCTCCTCCCTCTCGGCGAGCAGCCGCAGCGCCACGCTCTGCACGCGGCCGGCCGAGCGGCAACCGGGCAGCTTCCGCCACAGGATGGGCGAGAGGTTGAAGCCGACGAGGTAGTCGACCGCCTGCCGCGCCTGCTGGGCGCGCACGAGCGGCATGTCGATCTCGCGCGGCGCGCCGATGGCGTCGAGGACGGCCGACTTTGTGATCTCGCCAAAGGAGATGCGGCGGACGGGCTGGCCGGCCGACAGTGCCCCCTTCTCGGCGAGCAGTTGCGCGACGTGCCACGCGATGGCCTCGCCCTCGCGGTCGGGGTCAGTGGCCAGTACGACCGCGCTGCTCCGCCTCGCCGCCTGCACCAGCGCCTGCACCACCCGCCCTTTGCTCGGCGCCTGCTCAAAGACCATCTCAAACCCGCGGTCCGGCGCCACGGACCCCGGCTTCGACGGGAGCGCGCGGACGTGGCCACTGCAGGCGAGGAGCTCGTACTCGGGGCCCACAAACTTGGACAGCGTCGCAATCTTCGCCGGCGACTCGACGACCATCAGCGTCCGTCCAGGCAAGTCTCCGCCGCCGCCTCTGCTGCCGCCGCCTCTGCTGCCGCCGCCTCTGCTGCCGCTGCCTCTGCTGCCGCCGCCGCCGCCACCACTGCCCGCCGCAGCGGCTACCTTCTCATCCGGCGCTCCACCACTAGCACGAAGTCGCTTGATTAGCGCAGCCTTCACCCCGCTGACGGGCAGCCCGTGCTGAGAGCAGCGTTCCTTTAGTTGTTTGACGGTGAGCTGCTCGAGCGAGCTGTCCGGCGGCCGCGGCCTGCTGGCTGCCATGCGGGCGGCGCCGCCCCGCCAGCCCGGCAGCAGCGGCGGAATCGGGAGTCGTCGTACGGCGCCCAGGAAGAAGACCATCGACCAAAGCAGCATCAATGTCGTCGGCGTCGGCTGGTGATCGACCCCCGTGATCGACCCCACTGCTCGACGCGAGATGCCACTGCTGGAAGAATTCTTCTTGTACCCCCCCTTGCTGTAGCCTGCACTCCGCCGATGATATGTGGGTGCGTGCCGATGCGCAAGCACGGGTGGTGGATGTCCTGTTCTGGCACGAGCGCAATGAACGGGCCAGCTGCGCTCCGGCACTCTTGCGGCCGGTGACGACCATACACACTAGGTAGGTAGGTAGGTAGAAAGGTGAAGAACAGCCAGGTTTGGACTGGACACCAACGCGGTATGGGTGGACGCTGGACAGATGATGACGACACGCACGAGCGACACACAGACACAAACAAGCTCACAAGACACACAGCCAGCGGGCTGCCACACACCCTGAGTAGGCGTACACATAACTCAAGGCCATATCCTCCCTGTCGCCCCCCCCAGCACTCCACGGTGCCAAGAGAAACAAACAAGGGCACAACATCACAACAGACGACAGGAAGTGACATGCGAGGCTAGAGCAGGCTTGCTCTACCTCCAGCAATCTCGCCGGCCGGCGAGGCACGGACGAGACCGTGTGTGGGGTCTAGTGAGGTGTCTACGGACGCCCTCCTCAGAGGCTAGCTGCCTGCGGCTAGCCCTAATCTCGCACTCACAGGCGATGACAATCCAATGTATGAGTGTATGCAAGCAGAGGCGCGTGTGCTAATTCTAGGCCGTACATACGTTGGCCGTGCGTGACGGCCGACTCTTCGCTACGGGACCGGCCCCAGCTTCGGCTGAGGGCTGACAAGCTGCCGAGCCCAAATCACTGTGACAGTCGTGATTTCTTGTTGGTTTTCAAAAATCTCTCTCTCCGACTCTATTCGTGCGGCTCTGATATAGCTGAGGGAGGGTGTAGAGGATGTAGAGTGTAGAGCGCCGTAGAGCTGTAGAGATGTAGAGCTCTACATCCGCCGCGGGACGAAGCGCCTCCGTTGTAGAGCGATGTAGAGCGCGATTTTGCTGTAGAGTTTGTTGTAGAGGCTCTACAGCCAAACCGCCGGGAAGGCAGTGACTCAAAGAGGTCGAGTCGCGCTAATGGGATGTCTCCGAGCTTACTGGAGCTCTGATGGACGGCCCTGACTATCCCTGACACACAGAGAGTCACTCTGATGGCACACAACACCCCATAACTGCGTCATCACCAGCCTGCCATGCGTCGCCGGTGCCGCATTCGTCGCAGTGCTTCTTTAGCAGGCGGTGGACTGTCGGCGGCGAGGACGGTCGCATTTGCGCAAGGCGAGGCGAGCATTCAGACGCGTTGCATGCGCCATGACTCGCGCCAGCGCGTGCGGGAGCTCCTGGCTGAGCGTTGAGTCCAAGCGAGTTGCGCTGGCCACGATCGCTACGCCGAGCCGAGCTGACGCGCCGAGGCGCCGGCCAGTCGCAGCCGTGAGGCATGCCATAGCAGCAGAGGCACCTGCCACCCATTGGGCGGGCAGACAGAAGGCCAGGGCAGCACTGGCAAGTGCAACGCGCCTCATGTCGGAGAGCGACCGTGCCTCGTTCGCCGCTTATCATGTAGAGTTTGTTGTAGAGATTTCACGTTGTAGAGCGCCTCTACATCGCTCTACAACGCACGCAGTTCGTCCCGCGGCGGATGTAGAGCTCTACAGCTCTACAGCGCTCTACAGCGCTCCAGAGCGCTCTACATCTCTACAGCTCTACAGCGCTCTACGCTCTACATCCTCTACACCCTCCCTCAGTGATATAGCTGACCGCGTTTTGGGAGGGAGACGCGAGGCGCCTTGTTGCCCGAGAGGGCCTTATTTGGAACACACCGGCGGGCGCTTTCGAGGCGAGCGTATGCATTTTTCTAGAGCCGTAGTGTGCGGGAACTACTTTGCGGGACGATAGCTACTACTGACTGCGCCCGGCGCGCAGCGCCGAAGAAAAGTTTGAGATAAATGCTACAAGTCTACAAATTGCTAACCCCCCCCCCCCCCCCAAGTGGCCAAGTCTCTAGGCGCTCCGAGACGACCAACGTTTGGTAAAAGTCGCACTCACCCCTTACTCGATCAAAATTGTAAAAGCACCCGAGGCTCCAGAAACCTAACCCTCAGACTATGGCCCACGTCGCTTGTGCCTTGACGGGATGACACACAATGGCCATCCCGCCGCCCCTTGGGCACCTTGGCCGCCCCCCGCGCGCCGCTGGCGTAAGTAGCGCCACGTACGGCCAGAGCAATATACCCCATATATTGCGTGTTATTTATGTTTATATCGCCGCTGTCTCTCAGGAACAGGACTCAGCCCGGCGCGACAAAATTCGGATGCGTAAGGGCTAAGCCTAAGTAAGGCACCAGGGGAGGGAATTAAGGGAAAGGCGAGGCTTCAGAGCCGTGCGCGACGCTTGCCCTCATCACACGCGGCCACAACACCAATTGAGCCCCGCGCGGTGGGCCTCTGCGGTAGCGTGAGTGGTCGGAGGTGCGTCCCTTCGCCGAGGACCTTCGGCTTCTTGTCCTGCAACGACGCAAACGCGTTGTTCAGCATCGCGACTAGCCCCTCAAAGGAGCCGCAGGGGCGCGTGCTGCCGGCTGACGCATGATATAGTATCATCAAAATACACTATACAGTGTGATGCGACGTCCGCGCCTCTCCTCCGCTACAAAGTCGCCTAATCCAACTCAGCCCCTCGCGCCCTCTCGCCGCGGGCTCGTTCGCCGCGCGTCCTCCTCGCCGTCGAGGCTCCCCGGCGGCGGCGGCGCGCCTCCGCCCGAGCGCGTTCAACAGCCCGGCGAGGTTGAGGCGCGCGCTCGGCCGCGTGCCGCAGTCGCGTGCGCGGCATGGTGCGCGGTGTGGGCGACACCGCCGCGCAGCGCGCGCTGCCGCGTCGGCAGGCCGTGCGGCACGGACCACGGTGCTCGAGCCACGGTGCAGCGCGCTGTGCCGCTGGGCGCTGGCCGGACGACCGCCGGAGACTCGGCGGAGAGGATTCTGTGCGCCGTGCGCGGCCTTGCTGGTTGCTCGCAGGAGTTCGGGTGCTCTCTAGGTAGTCTTACTCTAAAAGCACGATTGGCAGCTTTAACTAGCCGCGTCTGAGCAGCACGCCCCCCGGGCCTGTCCCCGCGCGCATCGGGCGATATCGAACCACCATCGGCCAGGCATTCAGGCTGCATCAGCGTCAGCCTCCCTCCAGCTCCCGAACCATCGCACTAGCCGCGAGGTCTCTCCAAGAGAGAGAGAGGGAGTCCGTCCGCTCTCTCGTTCTCTCGCCCGTGACAGACACAAGACAGCGAGGTCCGCGCACGGGGAAGGGGGCACGGCACAGCGGTTGGTGGCACGAGTCGTCCCTCACTTTCGGCTGGGCGAACTCATTTCGCCGCCCTGCACCGGCAGGTACGAGGTGCTTTCCCTCGCCTTGGGCTGCCAGGCGTACAGAAAGATGGAGGCGATCACGAGCGCCGCGCCGCTCCAGAAGACCTGGTTGGGCTGAAAGTTGAAGAGCGGAATGGAGGCCTACATTGCGAGCGCCAGGGTTGGAATACGGCACCGTGCCGTGATCTCGGAGCGTCGCGGGACTACGAGGGCTGCAAACACAGCGGAGCACAGCGGAACGCGACCCCTCTCGAGTGCTAGCCGGGAGGCGCGGATCCTGCAGTCTTCGTCTAGGGACCGAGATCTTGGGAGATCTGGGGAGATCTGGGGAGATCAGCAGTCTTCATCTAGGGACGGAGTACGAGGCACGAGAGGATGATTGCGATGGCCATCGCCAGGTTCTTCAGGTTGTTATCGGCGAAGCGAATCACGACCGCCACCAGCAGCCCGCCTGTGGATGAGTCGCCGACGCGTCATGGGACGTGTCGCGGCTCTGCCCGATCGCCACGAGCAGCCGCACCGAAGGCAAACATGCACACCACCGCCCACGTCACGGGGCAGAAGCCGTGCAGCCAGCCCTGCGACTGCACCTTTCCCCAGTCGCGCTGCCATACGGCGAAGAGCTGCAGTGGGATCGAAAAGATGCACAGCTGCACGTTGCGCACCCAGAGCGACGTCTTGTCGCCTGCGGCGCGATCAAGCCGGACGATCAAGCCGAGACGAGCGGGCGGGGCGCAAGCGAGGCGTCGGGCGACGGCGGCGGCGGCGGTGGTGAGGGCGGTGCTGAGGGCGGTGGCGGGCTGGGTGGCGGCGGGCTGTGAGAGAGGGCGGTGGCCATAGCGGCGGCGGCGAGCGTGGTGGCGGGCTCGGCGGCGGCGGGCTGGGCGGCGGTGGCGTGCGGGCGCGCACCCTTGAGGATCTTTTCGAGATAGACGGAGGCGAAGCCGGAGCAGACGGAGACGCCGAGCGCGGCGAGCACGCCCGTCATGTCGCCCTTGGACCCGCCATTGGCGGCATCCTGCGCGCGCGCGGCGGCCGTCTGTGAGGCGAGTGCTGCGGCGTGGCACGCTGGCGGCGGCGCGGGGAAGACTGGCGCGTCGGTGTGCGAGGAGTCGCCGCCGCCGCGCCGGCGCGCGCGCGGGACAGACCTGCTGCGACCACTGCGCCGTCACCACTCCTGCTACAAGCACGCAAAGAGCGAGCCTGCGTCACGAGGGTGCCAGAGTCAGCGCGGGGAGACGGAGTCGAGGCCGCCTCTTCAGAGCATCGCGTGCGCGCAGGGGGCAGCGGATACAGCTGAGTGCGGCTGGGCATCGTCGAGCACGGAGTCTCACGGGACCGTGCTCCCCATCTAGCAGCGCGAGCCACTGGTTGCAGCGCAGCGACTTTGAGAGGATGACGACGCCAAAGATGGCGGTGGAGAGGGTCTTGGTCTGGTAGAGCAGCTGGAGGAGGGCCGCCTCGAGGTGGCTCGCCGCGATGAACTGCAGGTTGTTTTGCACCGTGTAGCACAGCGCCGGCACTGCAACCTTGAGCGTGTCGAGCTTCCGATCCCAAATGTCTGTCTTGAGCCGCGCCAGCGTGGCACACGGCCCGCCCTCGAGGCAGAAGAGGATGGTGGCGCAGCAAAAGGTGAGCTTCAGCAGCTCCGCAAAGAGCACGGCGACCGACGTCTGCGAGCGGCGGGGTCGACATCGGGCTCAGAGAGAGAGCGCGCAGGAGCGCAGAGAGCGCGCGCAGAGCCGCGGGAGAGCAGAGACCCGCTGTGCGGCAGTGAACTCGGACTGCGGCTGCGCTGGCGAGGCGGCGGCGGCGGCGGCGGCGGGGCCGGCGGAGGCGGCGCGGCGCGCCACGTAGCCCTCGCACTCGCCGCCCGCCACCCGCGAGTATCGGAGCAACAGCACGTGGCTGCTGTTTTGGACGATGACCAGCCCGAGCGAGCCGTACTTTAGGACGGAGCTCTCGCTCCAGCCGGCTCCTCTCTCCTCTCCACGGTTGGGGGTCAGCGGCTGGGTCTCGGACTCCTCTCCTTCAGCTGATGCCATGAACCTGCCAGCAGCCACACCGCTGCCCGCACGCCGCGAACTTGCGAAAGAATTTTACAAAGCAACACTACTGGCACTAACACAGGTACACCTGCGAAAGAATGTTGCAGTCGCAGGGCGACGGCTAGCGCATCACACCCCTCTCTTAAAATCCCTGTGTGGTGGCGCGGCGTGCCGTCCTCCCATCCCTCCCTCGGGTTGTAGACTCCAACCCCAACCACCCATGGGTGCTCCTCTCCCAATAGGCGGACCAATTATTTATTTATGGGTGGCTTATTCGTTCGACCGCTTTATTGCCGCGATCAAAACTAGGTACACGCCAAACACCAGACGACATGTACTCCCACCCGACAACCGGCAAAACGCTGTCGTGAGCCAGCCGCTTTTGCGGCAGCCGACCGCGGAGATCGAGCGCGCCGCGTGCGCGGAGATCGACATGGCGAGGCGGCCGTCATCCCGTACGATGCCGCTGGCGCCGCGGCGCGAGCCTGCGGCTCGGTGGAGGGCTCCACGCTCGGCGCGGCGGAGGTGCGCCGGACTGCACCACTCCCGCACCACCCCCGACTCGGAGCGGTGCAGTTCATATGAAACTGCGCACCGCTCCGGTGCACCGCTCCCGTGCGCAATTAGGAGCGGGGGTGGGCCAGGTGGCGTGCCCCTCTAATGGGGGGTGGCGTTCCCACGGGGGCTGCCTTCCCACGAGCGGGCCACATCTTCCTACAAGGGACACCTCGCACGGGACTGGCGCCCAGGGTAGGCGACGGCTAGCGCATCACACTCCTCTCCTTAAAATCCCTGTGTGGTGGCGGCGTGCCGTTCTCCCATCCCTCCCTTGGGTTGGCTGTTTTCTTTCTTTCTTTCTGGCGCGCACTGGCACTAACACAGGTACACCTGCGAAAGAATGTTGCGTCGCAGGGCGTCGGCTAGCGCATCACACCCCTCTCCTTAAAATCCCTGTGTGGTGGCGGCGTGCCGTCCTCCCATCCCTCCCTCGGGTTGTAGACTCCAACCCCAACCACCAATGGGTGCTCCTCTAGTAGTGCAGTGCCAGCCACGCATCAAGCTTCAAGGATACACACGGCGCCCCCCTGAGATTTGATTGAGATGTAGACGAGCTCGCATCTCGCAAGCTCGCGCATGTGTTTCGTCGATCGGCCGTCCTCTTCAGACTTCACACATCTCATTGAGATTGTTATTCAAATTCCATGTTCACAGCAAATTGTCTCCCCTTTCTAGCATGCCAACATATCCGGGTGAGCATAGCAAATTGCCCTATCCCTCACGCTCTCGGCCCTGCCGGCTTCGGAGGAGGCTAATACACGCCGTGTGCGTGGCCCACCCTCGCGCAGTGTGTGTGTGTAGCTGTCTGTGTCTGTGTCTGTGTCTGTGTCTGTGTTCCTGTCGTGTCGTGTGTGTCGTGTGTGACTCTCGCACTAGCTCTCGCCCTCTCGCGAGCCTCGCCTTCCTCGACGGGATAACTTTCCGCGTCCCTTTTGTCCCTTTTGCTGCCCCTCTTTGCTCCCTTTTCCCTCGCCGCGTAACTTGCGCCCCTTTTAAAAAATTTAATTTGTTTCTTTAAACCCTTTTTTTCACCACCTGAGATCCCGAATCTCAGCCCTGCAATTATGACCCCAACTGCCCTGCCCTGCCCCGCCCTGCCCTGCCGTACTGCCCTGCCCGCACACTGCCGCACAACTGCCCTGCCCGATCCCCTACCTGCCCCGGGTGTGAAACCCACACTGCCCTGCGCCCTGCCCAAAGCACACTGCCGGGGTGTGAATACCTGCCCGCTCGCGAGGTCTCGGAGAAGGGTACACGTATATGGGGTTGTCTCTTGTCTGTTTTCTTTCTTTCTTTTTCGCGGGGTCGCTTAGGCGGCTCCCGTGGTGTACCTGTGCGTTAGTGCCAGTGCGCGCCAGTCAGTCCAGTGTCGCGCGAGCGGCGAGGGAGTCCGGCCGCAAAAATTCTTTTCGGGCGCTGAGCCGACGACCAATAGGCGGACGGGACGGCGGCGAGGGTATATACGTCTATTGTAAAGGGGAAGGACCCTGAGTTGCACAGGGGTTGTGCGTTAGGCCCTCCTGCTCGGCTCCAGCGAGTAGACAAGTGTTGTGTCATCAACAGAGTAGAAAGATCTGACCTCGGGGCCGATGTGACCAAGCGCTGGTAGCGCGGTTTCACCTCACACCCATGGTCTCACACAGTGTGCCGGCAGTCGCCGAGCAGTGTCGCTCACACAAGCCGCCTGTCGCAAAGAGCTGCATGCCACCGAAGGCGCTGTCGAGGTTCGCCGAGCGCGGCGCAGGTTGGAGGAAGCCGTCACCGACGAGCGCGTTGGACTTTTCACTCCGGACAAAGACGGCGGCACGCACACGAGACGGTCGTGTAGCCGTCTTAGGCTCTTAGCGGCGAGGCGCTCACTCACTCACGGTCCACACCCTTTACAACGATTGGAGAGAGCGAGAGGGAGGGAGGGAGGGAGGGAGGGAGAGAGGGGGGGGGGGGGGGGAAAAAAAAAGAAGTGCACAACACAAAATTCGCGTTCATGCCAACCCGCCGGAATTCAAAGGTATACGTTCGTCGCTCAAGGTCAAGGACGGGGGACTCATCCTTCCAGGACTTAGTCGCTCGTTTCAGGCCCCTTGCCACACACAGAACAATGGGCTGCCACTCTAGCAAGAACGCGGACGCACGCGCCGTCAGCGGCAGTTTTGTCAGCGACGAGGCGCCAGCTGCTTCCTCTTACGGCGTCAACTTCTCCCTTTCTCTGATGAACATTACGGTTGACAAGGCGGCCAAGGAAAAGTACGCCAACGTTGCCGCCGGTTACAAGCTCACCACCTTGAAGCTGTGGTCCTGGAACGATACCGACCTGCTCGATGCGCTATCCAGCGCATACACAGCGGCCGGGCAAGAAGCTCGAGGTCATGATCATGGTTCCGCAGGACGAAGTCATTGCCTTCGCCGACTCGGCAGAGAAGGCAAAGGAGCTGCTGCCCATCCTCAGCAGGTACCACTTTGTGAGGAGCATCGCGGTTGGCAACGAGCCCGATCTCCCCGGTGGAAACCCTCCGCAAGGCAAGGATCTCGACATCTTCCAGAAGCTGCCGATGGCAGTCGCTAATGTGCAAGCTGCGCTGCAAGGCTCCCCGTCAGGCTCTGGCATTGTGGTCACGGTGCCCTTCTCCAATGGTGTGGTGGGGCCAAACAATGGTGACTGGGGTGACGTGATCATCAAGAAGGCCAACCAGAAGGTGGTTGAAGCGTGCATGCCCAACCTGGACTTCTGGGCTTTCAACCCTTACCCCTACTTCAGCTTTGAGGGCGTTCCGACGGGCGTCGACAAGACGACTTGGCAAGACTGGGTGCTTGGCGACGCCAAGACCCCTTTCGGCACCCCCCCCTTTAGCAGCATGCTGGAGTCGCAGCTCTACAACATGCGCCACGCGCTGGACAAGCTCAGCAAGAGCGCGGGGTCGAAGCAGATTGCCATCACCGAAACCGGATGGCCGACGGAACCAAGCGCGGTTGGCGCATCGATTGCAAACGCGCGCCTCTTCTACCAGGACATGCGCCGCGACCTAGGCCGCATGACGACGACGTACAACCTCGTGCCCGGTTACGTCTTCCTTTTTGAACTCTTTGACGAGGCAAAGAAGACGGGAAACCCAGCAGAGGCACATTGGGGATTGCTCAACCAGGACGGAACCCCCAAGCTTGGCTTGACGGAGTTCGTCCTCCCCCCATCTTTCTCGGCAACAAAGCCCTGACCGGAAGGAGCCCGTTGAGTGGACTGACTGTGTGTGTGTGTGTGTGTGTGTGTGTGTGTGTGTGTGTGTGTGTGTGTGTGTGTGTGTGTGTGTGTGTGTGTGTGTGTGTACTGTCCCACAGCGCAGCCAATGATCGTCCCTCTCTTGCAGCCCACTCTTGTGAGCGAACCCGATGTGTGCCGTCTAGCGCGAATTCCCCCCCCCCCCCCCCCCAAAAGAAATCTGTTCAAGTCCGCCGCCGCTATTTTGCGCTATAAAGAAGAAATCGCCGGTGGCCTGGCGAGGTACTTCCAGCCTGCTGTGGGAACAGCTGAACGCTGCTCCCAAAAGGCTCGCCCCAGCATGGCGGGTTCCCTCGCCGTCCCCCGGGCAAGGGGGGACGTGGGCGAGGTACGACCGCACTCTCGTGCCTCGGGTTTGCTCGCGCGCTCCAGAGCTCACGGGCTTCAATGAGTCGAGGGTCCCCCGGCCCGCGGTGTCGGTGTGCCGTGAGTGCGCCGGCTGCCTGGCTACGGAGGCAATGCGGAACCTGCCGCGAGTGCCTTGACCGGCCGCGGCTTGGCGGTAAGGGCGTTCGCAAAAAGCTGTGCCGCCGTCGCAAATGCCAAAACCCTCAGCACGCAGGGCGTATCCATGTCACCGCCGCTCCCGCCGCCGGGGTGTCCTCCGCCAGCCCGCTCCCGCTTGACGCAAAGCTTGCCTCAGCTTCTCCGGCAGGCGCGAGCGCACCTCTCGCGGCTCGGGCGCCTCCCTGCTCCGCTCGGCTGCCTCGTCGCCTCCATCCGGGCGTCCTCCGCCTCCGCCTTCCGCCTCCGCCTCCGCTTCCGCCGCCGCCTCCTCCTCCTGCTCCTCCGCCCCCTGCCTCTGCCTCCGCCTCCGCCACCTCCTCGTTTCCGCCCTAGGCCGTCCCCGGCTGCTTCTGCTCTCGCGTAATTTCTCGGCATGCCGGAGAAGAGAATTCACGCCGCCGAAAAAGAATTCATGCCGCCGGCACGCCGAAAAAGAATTGAGAAAAAACCGATGGCCGTATTTTACTCTCGCTCCAGCCGGCTCCTCTCCTCTAAGTCAGCTGAAGCCATAAACCTGATATTTGTTTGTAAACCTGCCAGCGCCGCACGACACAACTCTCGTTGCAAAAGAATTCGGGCTGCTATTAGCTTGCCTGTGGCGAAGCGGTCGAGTGCACGGAGCTAAGACCTAAGTGCCAAGACGACCTCGCGGGGGTCGCTCAGCGGCTCCCGCGTTTACATCAGACTAAAAATTCTTTTCGGCGCTCAGCATCGGATGCCCGCGAGGTGCTCGTCCGGTGGCCCGGAGCTCGTGACCTCAAACGATGGGGGTGCCGAGCGGCGGCGTGGGCGGGAGAGGGCTCTGTCGGCCGAAGCTGGCCTCTTGTCCGGCCAGCGGGAAGTCGACGCCGTTAGAGAGGCGTGAATGCATCCTCCTGGACTATCTCTCCTGGAGATGTCTGCATTATTTATTTATACACTAGGCACGGGACTGGCGCGCACTGGCACTAACACAGGTACACAAGGCAAAAGAATTATGAAGGGCGCTCGAGTGCAGGGAGCTAACTTGTGTTAGTGCCAGTCGATGTCGCCGGGTGAGAGCGAATGGCGCGGTTCTCTCTCTCTCCCAATAGGCGGACCAATTATTTATTTATACACTAGGCACGGGACTGGCGCGCACTGGCACTAACACAGGTACACAAGGCAAAAGAATTATGAAGGGCGCTCGAGTGCAGGGAGCTAACTTGTGTTAGTGCCAGTCGAAGTGGCCGAAGCGCGTGTAATTCTTTTGTGCTAGCCGATAGGCGGACCAATAGGCGGACGGGACGGCGGCGAGAGTGTACGAAGCGACTCGCCCTGATCGTGCCGTCAACCGCTCTCTACTTCATGGGCGGCGGGACCCGGAGAGAGTCTCAGAGCGAGCCGGGTGGCAGCCAGAAGACCATCTTCATCTCCTGCTCTGCGCTCATCCGCGAGACGAAGCTCTGCGTCGGCGGCGAGCACCAGGCAGAACTCGACTCGCTGCTGTCGAGGCTTGCCGCGCGCGAGATTCAGGCGGAGGCGGCGGTGAAGCAGCTGATGGCCATCGTCGGCTCGACCGTTGTCCAGCAGGCCGGCCTCAGTGCCATCAACCTGCAGAAGGGGATCCTGCCGCATGGCTGGATTGAGTACATCGACGATGCGACGCGCAGGCCATACTACTACAACGTGCACACGAAGGAGACGACGTGGTACAAGCCGGAGGCGCCGGACGCACCCCCGCCCCTGCCGCTTGCCGATGAGGACGGCGTGGACACCAGCGTATTCACAAATCATCGCATCAGTTTGTCGGGCGAGATCTAGTTGCACGGCCACGGGCGAGGCTGTGAGAGGAGGGGGAGGGGAGCTCGGCGCTCCAGCTGTCGCAGGCACTCGCGCACGCGGACACACGCCGCTCACGGGGGTGCCCGTGCGATTGCGAGCATTCGCGTTGTCACCGCTGTCGCTGGTCCAGACGCGGCAGAGCCTCTCGGCTTCGACACGCTGGGAAGTTCTGGATTTGAGTTCTCCCGTATATGTGCATGTGCTTGACCATTCGAAAGAGCGGTCGGCCGGAGATATGTACGTACCGCGATATCGCGAGCGCGCCGCCACGCCCCGTGTGCTGCAGTACGCCGTCTCGGTACTCGGACTCGGGTCTCGGCCGCTCTAGTTCCTTCCTCCACCTTCGTGCTTCGACCTTCGTCACACACACACACAAGAGAGAGAGAGAGAGAGAGAGAGAGAGAGAGAGAGAGAGAGAGAGAGAGAGAGAGAGAGAGAGAGAGAGAGAGAGAGAGAGAGAGAGAGAGAGAGCATCAAATCCCCCCCCCCCCCCCACCCCCTTTCCCCCAATGTTGTCATCAAAAGAGCAACAAAAGAGTCACAGCCGTTTGTGACGATGAGTTTTGCCAGTCCCGGGCATAACTCAACCCTGCCCGTGCCTTTTTCCGTTCGTTCTGGTGTAAGCGCGTATTCCCGGAACAGCGTTATTGCGCGGCGGACGTCCGCACAACATTCATCGGTACAGCGTCCGTCCCCAATAACGCGCATCACGTCCTAAACGCAGTAAAGTTGAAGGCAAAACTCAACGAGGGCATGTTTGCATTCTTGAAACCGTGCGCCAACCAGCCCTCTGGAGCCACAACATGTCGCTGGAGCATGAGCGTGTGCAATCAGTGCCAAAGGTCGGCCTCAAGGTGCGAGCCGAGAACTCAGATTCTGAGCCTGGAGACGGCGACGGCGTGACAGGGAGCAGCCTCGTGGCCCGCGCCCGATCGGATGAGGGCGACCAGCGCTTTTCCCATGCTGATCTGCTGGAGCCAATTGAGAAGGAGTCATACTACCCTTCCGGTGCGCACTGCCGCGTAGCTCGTCTCTAGTAGCGCCGCGGCTAGACGTGCCGCAGACGAGCGGCGTCTGACCTTTGTCCCTCTCGCGCACAGGAGAGCGGAAGCGATGCCACTCGGCGTGTGTGGGGTGCATGAAGAGGCGAGTCCGCTGCGTCATGCTCAAGTGCGGCGCATGTTCCAACTGCGTGGACCGTGGGATTCCCTGCATCCCGCGCGTGGGCCGCAAACGTGGGCCGCCGGCTCTGGAGGAGCGAATGGATCGCGCCATCTCCTTTGCCATGGCAACGCAGTACTCTGCGCAACTGGCGGGAGCGGCCCAACCGTATGGGGCCGCCATGCACTCGCCGCACCTATCAGGGGGGCAGGCGGCCTACGCCGCCGCCGTTCCGCTGAATCCACACGGGCGGCCGGTGCCGATTCAGCCCCAGATGAGTCCGCAGATGATGTTGCACCAACCGCAAATGCAGCAAATGCAGCTGCCGCAAACAGCCCATCTGATGTACCCGCAGATGCAGCACCAGGAGCAACTCTACCAGCGATATGCGCAGATGCAAGCACAAGGGCAAACGCCGCTGACCCCTACGCTGCAGCACCAGTTGACGATGCAGCAGCCGCATCCGGCGTCCCTCGCGCCCGCACCGCAAGCACAGCAGTCACATGCACCGCCTCAGCCGCTTGCGATGCAAACGCAGCAAACACAGCAGACGCAACTGCAGCAGCTGCTACCTCAGCAGCCGCAGCCGCTGCCTCAGCAGCAGCAGCCGCTGCCGTCGCCGCCGCAGCACCCAATAGTGCTGCCGTCGCAGCAGCTTCAGACCCAAACGACTCAGCAGCAATCGCCGCAGCAGCCCCAGCCTCTGCCGTCGCAGCAGCACTCGCCGCAGCCGCTGCCTCAGCAACAGCAGCCGCCGCAGCACCCACTAGTGCTGCCATCGCAGCAGCCTCAGCCCCAAACACCTCAGCAGCACTCGTCGCAGCAGCCCCAGCCCCAGCCTTTGCCGTCACAGCAGCCCTCGCCGCAGCCGCTGCCTCAGCAACAGCAGCCGCTGTCGTCGCCGCCGCAGCACCCACTAGTGCTGCTGTCGCAGCAGCCTCAGCCCCAAACGACTCAGCAGCACTCGTCGCAGCAGCCCCAGCCCCAGCCTTTGCCGTCACAGCAGCCCTCGCCGCAGCCGCTGCCTCAGCAACAGCAGCCGCTGTCGTCGCCGCCGCAGCACCCACTAGTGCTGCTGTCGCAGCAGCCTCAGCCCCAAACGACTCAGCAGCAATCGCCTCAGCCGCAGCCCCAGCTTCTGCCGTTGCAGCAGCCCTCGCCGCAGCTGCCTCAGCAACAGCAGCCGCTGCCGCAACACCCACTGGTTCTGCTGTCGCAGCAGCCTACCCACTCGCCTCAGCAGCAATCGCCGCAGCAGCCTCAGCCCCAGCCTTCGCCGTCGCAGCAACCCTCGCCGCAGCCGCCCTCGCAGCAACTGCCTCTTCATCCAACGTCAATTCGACCTACTCCGCAACAACCTCCGCAGCCGTTGCCGCCGCAGCCCCAGCAACAGCCTTCCCAACCTCAGATCCAGCACCCGCCGCCTTCACAGCCGCAGCCTCAGCCTCCCCAGCCGGAGCCGCCGCAGCCACCGCAGCCGCAGTCGCACGTGAGTGTTATACAACAGTCGGACCAGGGCCAACTTCCTACATCCGCTTTCAGTGATCGATTCTACCGGTGCAGTCAATGCCATCGCCTGCTAGTACCATCAGGAGGTGCGCAAGGTTCAAACGTACTCTCATGCGCAGCGTGCGGGGTGCTCTACCAACCGTAGGAGCAAACAACGAAGCACCGAATTTTGACCACTTTGCTCTCACTTTTGGCTTGCATGGCCCGTGGCAGTCTTGCCCTCTTTGACTTTGACTCCGCGCAGTGGCTTGTGCTCTGCCAGTCCGTGCTGCATGCCAACGACGCGTGCTCTGGGCATGTGGAAGGTCACCGCACCCGGTGCTGCAGCCACAAAGGGCTAGCTAGGGCCTTGGGCTGAACTTCTGCCGAGCGTTCTGCTTGGACATGTACATGGTGTATGCAAACACCGCGCACCTGCGTGCATGTGTGTCGATGGTGCTTCCTTTTGTGAGTTGAAAGTGTGGGAAGGTGTGAGTTGTTGCTCGAGCCTCTCCGTTTCTGAGTCAGCGTCCATTTGTACTCATTTGTAAAAGTGTATGTATATCAGGCCCCTCACACAAAGCGCATTTGCACCCTTTTGTGGCGTTTGGCTCTAGCCATTGTGCATTGAGCCAACAATAACGCGTTTTGTATTTCTTTCCGCCCGCAGGAAAATGCGCATCCGGAGTGGTTACGAGTACTAACCCCCCGAGATTTACCCTTCGGTGTCGCTCCTCATCGCAACTCGAGCATCGCAAACCCCGCCAGGCAGGCAGTTCAGCTCGGGTACGTTCGTAAGAACTACATACACTGAGAGAAGACGGCTACGGGACCGGCCCCAGCTTCGGCTGAGGGCTGACAAGCTGCCGAGCCCAACTCACTGTGAGAAAGGCGTGATTTCTTGTTGGTTTTCAAAAATCTCTCTCTACACTGAGAGAGGGCCCTTAGGGGCCTAGAGAACACAACCCCCTCTCCCTGTTCTCCCATTAAGCTAAAAGTACATGTATGTGGGAAGTGAGTTCTCCCTGTTCTCCCATTAAGCTAAAAGTACATACATATGTATGTAGGAAGTGAATGCAGTCGAGGAGGGTAGGGGGGGGGGGGGGGGGCGAGTACTGTGGGATTGACACGCACAACGCTCGATAGCAACGCGAACCGCGCAGTAACGCCAGCTCTGGTTCCACAGGGCCGCCGCCCTCGCGGATGCCGCCGCCGCCGGCCGCCGCATCCGTTGCGACAGGTCCGCGGCATCACAAACGACGGGCCACGCTCTCTCCCGCTGCCGCCCGCCAACCGGCCTCGATTGAAGAATGGTTGACGACGATGCCAAAGGTGGAGCGAGGAGGGAAGATTTCAGACTTCCTGTCGCCACGTTATGCAGATCTAATCCCGTCCAAACTTCCACCTTCGCACCCGTCTTCGTCTTCGCTCGAGGTGGCGGAGGCTCTGGGTTCGGCTCTTTCTCGACTGGACGCCCAAGACGCCGCCCTGATCAGGCGAGCTCAAGCATTGCTCAGCGGCGATGCAGAGGCGTCCACAGAGCTGCTCGCCCTCAGCAAGTCGCCCTTGAGGGTGCGCGCTGCTAGCGTGCCGCGGATCCGGCTGCCTGCGCAGCCGCTCAAGCGGCGGCCGGCCTCTGCAGCGATGCTATCGGCTCCGCAAAAGAGAGCACCGCCGGGAGCCTCACGAGAGTGCCGAGGTTGCGAGGTACCCGATGCGCGCGCCAGGGTCAGAGCTCATTTGCGGCGGCAAAAGGCCGAGTCAAGGCAGGCCGCCGAGCAAGCCTCAGCCGTGCAGGCGCGTGCTGCGGCTTCCAAGGAGCGGGCAGCTTCGCTGCAGGCAAAGGCGGTCCAGCGGCTGCAGGCGGCAAAGGCCTCTCTGAAGGCAAAGGCGCTTGCCGAGCGGCGGGTTGCCGAAGCAGAAGAGGTGACAGCAGCCGAGAGGCGAGCTCACGCACGCCGCAAGGCCGAGGAACACCGGAGGCAGGTCGCAAGCTCACTCAGCAAGAAGCTGGCCCTGGAGCGGGAGGAGCGGGAGCGCATGCGCGCAGAAGAGGCGGCTGCAAAACAGCAGGACGCGTTGCGAGCGGCAGAGGTGGCGAGAGCGGCAGAGGCGGCTGCGCGGGAGCGCGTGCGGAGACACAAGGCCAGAGAGGCGGCTGAGCGAGAGCGAGCCTCCGCGGCAGAGCTCATCGAGGCGGCCAGCAAGATTGACCCCGAGGAGGCAGGGCGGAGGCTCGAGGCTGCCAAGGCCGCGCAGATGACCGCCGCGGCTCGGTCGCGCGCGCATAAGCTTGGATCTGAGGGCGGGATCGGCGACGCGTCGCACCCACATCGTCCAACAAGCCGACAATGGGAGATGCGCCACGGACCGCGCTCGCGCGTCGAAACGGCGGGCTCGGCGGGGGCCGACCACGGGGGCCCGCGAGGCCAAGACACCAGCAGCGCTTCCTGGCTACATGACGACATCTTGACCGGCACGCCTCCGCAGTCGGCTCAAAGGCGGCAGGGTGTCGCGAGAGGGGCTCGCCATGCACCCGAGGCCAGCCCTCTGGCGGTGGGGCCCGATTGGAAAATCTTGGACGGACCTGGCATGCGCACGCCGCCGGGGCCAGTGGCGTTCGAGGTTTCGGCTGAAGGGCCGACCGCACCCCCGGAAAGGCGAGACGCCGTTACTCGGGGCCTGCTGCCACTGCATCCGTGCCAGCCGAAGGAAGAGTGCCCGTCTCCGGGCGCGTTGACGTCCATCCACTGGAGCGTGACCGGCAGAGACGCGGACGGGTGCGGGGGCGAACTGTGTTGTGGCGCGCCCCTCAGCGTCGCGTCCGGCCGGCCACCGGACGCGAGGACTGAGGGACGTGCCAAGCGCGAGGTGTGGAAGCGGCCGCCCGTGCCCCTGGACAAGCTCATCGCGGCGGAGGATGCCGCGCTGCTTTTATGACTTCTCTCTTCATTAGATTTGTGATTGTGTGTTTGAGCGAGACCCACCCCCGCGAACTGGAATGAGAGACGACGCTTAAGGATAAGGTGCACCTTAAAGACGTCATAGAGCTTAGAGGATAGAGCTTAGACGCTCTTGGAGTCGCGGGGGGTCGCGAGACCTCCCCAAGCGCGGGGGGGCGCAACCGCAACGCGCACAACGAGTGCTCAAAGCCTCAAACCAAAGCTGTGGAAGCCGCGCGCGCGCTGATCGGCGATTTATGAGAGAGAAGAGTTACAACGAACAAAAGACACCAAGCTGTGCCCCGCACACGATACCTTGTCCCGTCACGGCGACGCTGCGGCAGGCGCCGGAGCAGCAGCAGCGGCAGCAGCGGCAGCAGCGGCAGCAGCAGCGGCAGCGGCAGCAGCAAGCGCTGGAGCGGCGGGCGGCGCCGGAGCAGCAGGAGGCGCCGCGGCAGCAGCAGGCGCGAGAGCAGCGGCAGCGGCAGGGGCGGCGACGGCGGCCGCCGCAGCTGCGGCAGGGGTGGCCGGCGTCGGCGCAGCTCCCGCAACGGAGGACGCGACGGCGGCGGCGAGCCCCGGGGGCCCAGGGGCGCCCGCAGAGGCGCCGGCGCATCCGGGCAAGCCAACCGCGCCGATGCCGCCAGCGGCGGCGGCGACGGCGGCGGCGGTGGACGCGGCGGCCGCGCTGGAGACGGCGGCCGCAGCAGCTGCGGTGGCCGGGGTGGCCGGCGGCAGCGTGGGAGGAGCAGAGCCCAACACAGACGAGGGGGCGGGGGCGAACCTCGGAGCAGGCGCCGCGCCGCTCGCGGCAGCGGCGGCTGGGCTGGCCGGCGGCGGAGCAAGTCCTGACGGCGCAGCGGAGGCGAGGCCGGGCGCGGGCAAGGGCGGCCGCGCAGCAGCGGCGGCGGGGGCGGATCTCGCGGCGGCGGGGGCCGCGGCGGACGAGGCTGCGGCGTTCGGCAGCTGCCGGTTGGCCTGCATGTTGTGCAGGCACGACATAAACGACTCGGCGATCCTGCGGCGGCGGCGGGGGGGCGCGTCGGGGCCGGGTGCGCGCGCGCGCGCCGGGGTGCGCGCCGGGGGGCGGCGGGTGGCTGTGCGGGTCGGGGTGGCGTCGGGTGAGCGTGTGGGGTCAGGGTCGAGGCGGCGCGCGCACCGCTTGAGCACGCGGATGAAGACGGAGCGGGTGGCGGCGGTCGTGGACGGGTCGCGGCACTGGTTATACTTTTCCTGCAGGATGTCGCGCTTCGACTTGTTGATTTGCGCGAGGATCCGCAGGAAGAGCTCCTCGGGCGGCAGCTCCCACGTCTCCGAGGCGGCGGCCTCGTTGGCGTGGTTGAGCAGCTGCGTCCAGTCCTGCATCGCCATCTCGATCTTGGAGGAGCGGCTGCGCTGCTGCTGCTCGCTGCTCGCGCCGGCGCCACCCAAGCCGCGCGCGGCGAGGTCGGCGGCGGCGGCCTTTTGGCGCGCGGCCGCCGCGGTCCGGTGCATGCCGTGCAGGTAGTAGAGCAGCATGAGCGTCGAGTGCGCCGCGTTGACCTCCTCGTCAAACTGCCAGTGGTACATCTGGCACTTTTCGAGGAACGACGACCGCTGGTCCACAAACTCGTTGGACATGATCGGCACCGGGTCAACCACCTGCGAGCGGCGCGGCCACGCGCTCTCGCCACGGCCGTGCACCGCCGCGGGCGAGGCGCCGAGCCGCGGGCGAGGCGCACCTTGTTGCGCTTGCCGGCCTGCCTCTGCTCGGCGAGCGTCACGACGATAAAGTGGTTGCGCATCGAGCGCATCTCCTCCTGGATCTGGTTGAGGAGCGCCTCCTCCTGCTTGATGTCGGCGTGCACGCCGCTGCCGCTCGCCGCCTTGCTCCCCTTGCCGTTGTGCCCGCCCCCCTTCTTCTTGGCGAGCTCCTTCTCCTTGTTTTTGAGCTCCTGGATCTTGAGCGCGATCGACGCCGCCCAATGGTCGCCAGAGAAGACGGGGATGTCGGAGGCCGACTCGATGTCCTTGTACGCGTCGAGCATGTCCTGACAGCCGACACGGGGGTGTTGGAAGGCGCCCCGGGGGGGGGGGGGGGGCGCCCCGGGGGCCTCCCGGGGGCGGGCTGGGGAAAGGGCGTTCCTGGAAATCGGCGATGACCCCCTTGTCTTTCGCGATGATGAGCATCTTTTCGTACCACTCCTTGAGCTTGAGCAGCCCCATCCGCTTCTGCAGCATCACCTCCGGGTGCGCGTAGAAGATGTAGTCGTCGCCCTGCTTGGGCGGCGACACCCAGATGTGGCCGTGCTCGAAGCCGAGGCCGCGCGCGTAGTCGAGGTAGTTGATGAGGATCGAGTGGTAGACGGTGGTGCGCTGCCCCTCGGGCGCCGACTTGAAGTAGCGCACCGAGTCGAGGTACGAGATGTAGACGCGGTTGGTGTTTGGCTCCGGGCACTCGGAGCCGTACTCCTGCACGTACATCGCGAAAAAGCAAACCTCGGGGCCGTCGCCGCCCTGCATGCGCTGAAAGGCGAGGATGCACTTTGAGCGGTACGGAAACTCGCGCCCGCCAACCTTGCCGTTCTGCAGCGCAACCTTGGCGCCGTTCTTGGCGGCCGAGTGCGCGGCGGCGGTGCCGGGCAGCGGGGGCGGCGGCGCGATCTTCGCGAAGCAGTCGATGTTGGACACGACGCGGATCGTGACGGGCGCCGCCTTGACGCCCGAAGCCGCGAGCTCCTTCTTGAGCCCGTCCTGCAGCTTCTTGGAGAGCACCGTCTCGGCGAGGTCCTCGGAGGGCGCCACGCACAGCTCCTTGGGCAGCGTCTTCCCGCGCGTGCGGCGGCAGTTGCCGCAGAAGAAGAGGCAGTCCTCGGGCGTGTCCTCCCCCTTGTACATGGCGCACGTCCAGTGCAGCCAGCTGTGGCACTCGTCGCACTGCACCCAGTTGTCGACGTACTCTGGCCGATCCTTCTCCTTCTTCTCGAGGAAGTTGTCGATCTTGACGTTGCGGTGCGCGATCTCCGAGAGCACGCGGTCCGCCGTCGAGGTGGCCTTGAGGTCGCTGAAGCACCGCTTGCACAGCTTGACGCCGCCCTCGTCGCCCGACTCCTCCCAGTACGACCAGCGCGTGTGGATGGCCTGCGCGCGGCGGTGAGGGGAGGCGGCGGTGAGGGGAGGCGGCGGTGAGGGGAGGCGGCGGTGAGGGGAGGCGGCGGTGAGGGGAGGCGGCGGTGGGGGGAGGCGGCGGTGAGGATAGCGGTCGTGGGGGCGGCGGCGGCGAGGGCGAGGCGGCATGGAGGGCACTGGGAAAGCGGCGGTGGAAGAGGCGGGGAGGGGGGGGTGGAGGAGGGAGGTTGCCTGGAAGCACTTCTCGCAGAACATGGGCGGCGGCTTGAAGGCGCGCTTGTCGGAGAGGCAGACGTTGCAGACCATGCGGCAGCGGTCGTGCGCCACCGCCTTCTCCTCGACGCCCGAGTGCATCATGATGTCGTAGATGGGCTCGCCGTTCTGCGCCGAGAGGTAGGCCCGCACCACGGTGCCCGGGCGCCACTCGCCGCCGGCATCGGCCGACGAGGAGCGCCGGTGCGAGGCGTAGTGCACCGAGACGGAGAAGCCCGCCTCGAGGACGTCGACCTCCTGCACGATGCCGTGCTGCTCGTGCTCGGCCGCCGCCGCCGCGTGCTTGCCCTTCTTCGAGCCGCCGACGCCCTCCTTACGCTTGCGCTTGGCGCCGCCCGCCGCGTCGCCGTGCTCGTCGCCGTGCTCGTCGTCCTTGCGCTGCCGCTTGCCGCCCCCCTTCTTGCGCTGCGCCGCCTCGGGGTGCGGCTTGGCCGCCACGTTCATCTTGGCGGCCTGCAGCCGCCTCCGCAGCGGCAGGCAGACGGGGCAGTTCTGGTCGGGGCACTCGCGGTGGTGCCGCATCAGCCGCTTGGAGAGCGCGCAGCGCGGGTACTGGCACGCGTCGCCCGCGCGGCACTGCCGCGTGTGGTTGGTCACGAGCGCCTTGGTCGCGGCGCACTCGGTGACGGAGCAGTTGACGTTGGCGCACTTCATCACGTGCGCAAGCACGAGCAGGTAGTGAGCCTGCGCCTGCACGCTGCTGTTGTCGAGGCCGCCGGGGACGCCGTACATGCCCATCCCTCCCCCCACGCCCATCGCGGCGCCGCCGCCGGGCATCATCTGCATGGGCGCGCGCGCGTCGCCCATGCCCATGCCCATGCCGGGGCCCCGCGCCGCGCTCTGGTTGCGCTGCATCAGCGCCTGCAGCTCCTTCTTTGCGCGCGCGCAGTACGGGATGACGCACTGCTGGCCCGGCTCCGTGTGGCAGTGCTTGGCGTGGATGTAGGTGAGCGGCCGCAGCTTCTTGCAGATGGCGCAGTCCGTCGTGGTGCACTCGAGGAAGTGGGCGTGGATCTTCTTCATCTTGTTGCAGTGCGGCACCGGGCAGTTGGCGTCGCTGCAGCTCGCCGCGTGCACGAGCACCGCCGCCGCGGCCACCTCGAGCCGCTGCTGCTGCTGCCGCTGCTGCGGCTGCGCGGAGCCCGACGGGCCGCCGCCGCTCGGCCCGGCGCCGGCAGTCGCGGGCGCCGAGGGGACCGCCGAGTGCGGCGCGCCGCAGCTGCACGAGGGCATCGCGCCCGGCGGGACCGCCATCGCGCCCGCCACGCCTGCCATGGCGGCCGCTCCGGGCTTCGCCGGCGTGGACATCGGCCCGCACGGCTGGCACGTCGCGCCGGCTGGCCCGTCCTGCCCGACGGGGGTCATCTCGACGTCCTGCTTGACCGCCGACGGCCCCGCCTCGGTCTTGACGGCGCCCGCGCCGTCGCCGCCGAGCACGCCCTGGCCGTTTGCGAGCGAGGCGCCGGGCGGACCCGGCCCGCCCACCCCGCTGCCCGAGGCGCCGGGCTCTGAGGCGCCGCCGCTGGATGGCGCCTTGTCACTCGCGAGCTGCTTGAGCGCCTGGCGGAGCGCCGGCGCATCCTCGCCCGCGATGTCGCGCACCTGCGCGCGCACGGCCGGCACAGGGGCGTGTTTGGGGTTGGGGAGTGGTGCTGTGATGCTACCGCGGGAGTGGCACGCACCTTGTGCAGAAACTCCTGCCGGTTGAGGCGCACCTGGCGCCGCTGCAGCTTTTGCACGAGATCCTCGAGCAGGTCGCACTTGTCGTTAGGAATCTGCGCATGGGGGGTGGGGAGGGGGAGGGGGGGGGGCGGGGGACGCTGGAGACAGAGGAGAGAGACAGAGACAGAGAGACAGAGACTGAGAGCGCGCGCGCGACGGGGGAGGGCGGTGAGCGCGCGCGCAGGGTGGTCAGACGTGCTTTGAGGGAGGGCGCTGCACGCGCGCGCGGCGCGCGCTCCGCGCACGCGTTCCCCCAACCCTCGAGTGTGCAAACCGTGCATCCGGACTGACATGAGCGCAGTCCCCTCCCCCCTCATGGCGGCCTCGGAGCGCGATTACGGGGCACTATAAATATGTTCTCGACGCGTCTCGGTGGGGAGCGTCGGTGACGAGGGAATCAAAGTGAACAGAGGGGCGCGTAGGCCGCGCGGCCGGTCGCAGACATGGCGCCGCGAAATAGTAAAGCGACGTGAGGAGCGCTAGAGCAGATACCTGGCCTCGTATCGCCTTGATGAGGTCGGGAAGAGAAACACTGCCCGCCATATCACCTCCCGCGGCTCGCCTGCCGTGATCGGGGGTCGGGACGCGCGCATATGAGAGAGACTCAGGCTGTGCGACTGCGCCCTGCGGCGTCAGACTTTTTGTTCGCTACGGCTGAGAATGTCAGGGGCGCGCGTGCGGGGGTTCCGCCCGAGGGGGGGGAAGGCGTCAGGGAGGCGGCTGGCCCGTGAGAGTGCGTGTTTTCGCCCCCGCGCCGGTGCCCGGGGCGGTGGAAGGCGGAGGGGTGGAAGCCATACCTCAGAGGTCTCACGGGTTTTATTTTTTCCCCGATAGCAGGCGACCAACCATGAGAAGCATGAGAGTTCAGATAAACGCACCACCCCGGGCCCCCGCATGAGTTCACACACACACACACACACACACACACACACACACACACACACACACACACGAAAGAAACAGAGAAGGGATCTCTCTCTCTCTCTCACACACACACTCACTCCCTCACTCACTCACTCACTCACGCATGTGAGTGCCAATCTGGGGGCACCCGACCGAGTCTATGAGCCCTGGGGGCCGCCTCCCGGAGGTGGTATGGTTGAGTGACCGAGCACTGTAGAGCGCTGTAGATAGAGCTGTATGTAGAGATGGAGAGCGCTGTAAGCTGTAGAGCTCTACATCCGCCGCGGGACGAGGCGGGTGCGTTGTAGAGCGATGTAGAGGTGCCAGTGCTGCCCTGGCCTTCTGTCTGCCCGCCCAATGGGTGGCAGGTGCCTCTGCTGCTGTGGCATGCCTCACGGCTGCGACCTGGCTGCGACTGGCCGGCGCCTCGGCGCGTCAGCTCGGGTCGGCGTAGCGATAGTGGCCAGCGCAACTCGCCTGGACTCAACGCTCAGCCAGGAGCTCCCGCACGCGCTGGCGCGAGTCATGGCGCATGCAACGCGTCTGAATGCTCGCCTCGCCTCGCGCAAATGCGACCGTCCTCGCAGCCGACAGTCCACCGCCTGCTAAAGAAGCACTGCGACGAATGCGGCACCGGCGCATGGCAGGCTGGTCATGACGCAGTTATAGGGTGTTGTGTGCCGTCAGAGTGACTCTCTGTGTGTCAGGGATAGTTAGGGCCGTCCATCAGAGCTCCAGTAAGCTCGGAGACACCCCATTAGTGCGACTCGACCTTTAAGTCACTGCCTTCCCGGCGGTTTGGCTCCTCTGCAACAAACTCTACAACAAAATCGCGCTCTACATCGCTCTACAACGCACCCGCCTCGTCCCGCGGCGGATGTAGAGCTCTACACAGCTCTACAGCGCTCCAGAGCGCTCTACATCTCTACAGCTCTACAGCGCTCTACACTCTACATCCTCTATACCCTCCCTCAGCACATGCATGCGAGACGCGCGAGAGAGGGCGCTGTACTTTGAGGCGGGGAGGGCCGCCGGCGGAGGGCACGGCCGACACGGACAGTGACGCGGCATCCCCGACTACCTCGACCCAGACGGCGATGGCAACGGCACCCCCGACACGCCGAGGAGTCCTGCCTAACTAACAGCGCGAGTTACCAGCTTCTTTTCCTGTGTTAGTGCCAGTGCGCGCCAAGTCCCGTGCCTAGTCTCGTGCGAGAGGGAATTTTCTAAATTCTTTTTACCACCGGTGAGTGTGCCAGTCCGCGCCAGTCCGCACCCTTGTCGTGCCAGTGTGCTGTGAGAGAGCTGAGAGGCTTGTCTTTTAAGAATTCTTTTCTCGCAGTGCGCGCCAGTCCCGTGCCCAGTGTTGTGCGAGGGAGTTTTGTTGTAAAATTAGTGCCAGTGCGCGCCAGTCCCGTGCCCAGTGTTGTGCGAGGGAGTCTTGTTGTAAGATTCGTTTCTCACCCAGGTTCTAAAATTCTTTTCTCGCGCACTGCCTGTGTTGTGCCAGTGCGCGCCAGTCCCGTGCCCAGTCCTGTGCCCAGTGTTGTGCGAGGGAGTTTTCTTGTAAGATTCGTTTCTCACCCCTTTTCTAAAACTAGCAGGTTGGCTCGCTAGTCGCTCGCCGGCCCGCGCAGCACGCGCGGGCCTTTTTTGTGGTCGGATGTTGGTCGTCTCGAATTTGATCGTGGGCAGGGCGTGAGAAAGCTGGACGGCTCGGTCGATGCGAGCCACCAGCTCGTGAGCGACGGGCGCGACGGGTTCCTCGGCGTAGGCTTGGTCGTGGTGAGCAGCGCCGGCGAGAGAGGGACGGCATGCGGCTCCCAAACGAGCCGCACGGGCTTCATCTGGGCCGCCGAGGCCACCTCCTTGGTCGCGGTGGCGGGCGTGAAGGCGAGGTGGGCCGAGGCAAGCGCTGAACGTGCCGTGCCGCCTTGCGCCCCTGAGGAGGGACGAGTGTGTGGGGTGCCACGGGCGGGGGGGAGCGGTGAGAGGAGAGCGGTGGGCACCCCCACGAGGGGCTGCGCTGACGCCGCCTGCCACCCCACGCACGCCACTGACGCTGTGGGGGCGGCACGATCGAACGCGCTGGTCGGGCGGGCCGTCTGAGTCGCCCAAGCGGTGCTCTGCCGGCCGGTGGACGCGAGGGTGGCCCAAGAGGGCTCAAAGTACGGAGCCGATACCCGGCCGTCCCGGACGCCTGGCACGCGGGCCAATGGCCCAGCTGTCCTGTGCATGGCTGGAGCGAAGGAGGGAGAGCTCAGGAGGGCGACGGGGCAGGGAAGGGGGCGATGCGATGCGGCGAGGTCTAATCGGCGGCGTGGAGAGAGGAGGTGCCAAAAGGCGACTATAGAGAGGCCTCTACGGGTGATATAGTGCGCCATGCCGGCGGGAGAGGTCTCTCACCGCCCCCCGGGCCGTCTCGAAGGGCCGTGCAGCCCACGGCACGAGGCGCTGCTGGCGGGAGCCTGGAAGGACTTGGCCTCGTTGCACCGCGCCGCGTTGATTCGCGACCACCGTCGGCCGCGGGAGGCGTCGGCGTGGCGGCCGCGGGCGCTCGCGAGACGCGCCGCTCTGCGCTGGTTCGGTTCGTTCGACTCGTTGTGCCGCCGCACGCCCGGCGGCCGCGGGTCCCAGAAGTGGTTGCGCGGGCCTCTTCCTTTCGGCCGCGGGACGGCGTCGGGCACGTCGTCGGTCGCAACAGCGGCGCGGCGAGCCGTGGCACGTCGTTGCTGGCGCTGGTGGTTTGAGGTCGGCATCGTCCAGAGCTCGGTCGACGAGTCGAGAGCTTCAGCTGGTTCGGTGCCATGTTTGTGCGGAAAGTGGCAAATATATCCTTCATTCTTTTCTCGCGATGTCCACCCTGCCGCGCCGCCGCTCGCGCCGTCTCGCCTCCGCCACCACCGCCGCGGCTCCGCCGAGCACGCTGCCGCCCGTCCGCCTCCTCGACCTCCCCACGGAGCTTCTCCTGCGCGCCTTCTCTCGCTGCGATCCCGCCGACATCGCTCGCGTCGCGGCCGTCTCGCTGCTCTTCCACGCCTCGCTTGCGGAGGAGGGCATCCGCTTGCGCCTGCAAGAGGCCGGCTACGAGCTGCCGGCGCAGCCAGAGGGCGAGAGCTGTGCCGTGCGGTGGCTGTGCGTCTATGCCTTGCTGCGCGAGTCCAACCCGCCGGCGAGGCTGGCGGCGGGCGCACAGCACAGCGTTTTCATCGACGGCGAGGGGCGGCTCTCGTCGTGCGGCACGGCAGCGGAGGACGAGGAGGACGAGGAGGACGATGAGGCAAGGTTCCGCATAGGCCTTCTCGGCCACGGCAAGGGCGTGCTGCAGCTGAAGACGCCGACCCGCCTCCCCTCGCTCCACGGCAGAGGCGCGCGCGCGATTGGTGTGGCGGCGTCACGGACCTTCAGCCTCGCTCTCTCCGCGGACGGCGCCGTTTGGTCCTGGGGCTGCGGGCAGGGCCAGCTGGGCCACGGCGACGAGGAGGACCAGTGGCAGCCAAAGAAGATCGAGGCCTTGGCGGGTCAGCGCGTCGTGGCTGTGTCGGCTGGAGCCGCTCACAGCCTCGCCATCACCGCCGACGGCGCTGTCTGGAGCTGGGGCTATGGATACGGTGGCCGGCTGGGCCACGGCCAGTCGGGCCACGGCGACGCGCAGACCCAGCTGCTGCCGAAGAAGGTGGAGGCCTTTGCTGGGCAGCGCGTCGTCGCTGTGTCGGCAGCAGAAATGCACAGCCTCGCCCTCACCGCCGACGGCGCCGTCTGGGGCTGGGGCCTTGGAGATTTTGGCCGCTTGGGCCACGGCGACGAGGAGGACCAGTGGCAGCCGAAGAAGGTGGAGGCCTTTGCTGGGCAGCGCGTCGTCGCTGTGTCGGCTGGAAACACGCACAACCTCGCCCTCACCGCCGATGGCGCTGTCTGGAGCTGGGGCGCTGGCGGACTCGGCAGCCTGGGCCACGGCGACCTGCAGGACCAGCTGCTGCCGAAGCAGGTCGAGGCCTTGACTGGCCGGCGCGTCGTCTCTGTGTCGGTGGGAGGCAACCACAGTCTCGCCCTCACCGCTGAAGGAGCCATCTGGAGCTGGGGCGATGGAGACTATGGCCAGTTGGGCCACGGCGACGAGCAGCTCCAGCTGCTGCCGAAGGCGGTCGAGGCCTTCGCTGGCCAGCGCGTCGTCACTTTGTCGGCGGGGGAAGACCACGGCCTCGCCCTAACCGCCGACGGCGCTGTCTTTACTTGGGGCAAGGGCGGGAGCGGCTGCCTAGGACACGGAGAGGACGTGTCGAACCAGCTGTTGCCCAAGAAGATCGAGGTGTGGTCGCGGGGGTGAGAAGGGGGGGAGGGGGAGAGGGACGGGGAAAACGATAATATTTTATACTTTCAAAACCCGCAGGAAGGGAGGGAGGGTCCCAGGGCAAAAAGACGCCGACGGAGTGGGAGATGTGCGGGAGCGTAGGGTGTTCCAGGGGGTCACGACACGCACCTCTCTCTCTCACACGCACCGACCCTTCACGAAAAAGGCTGTGCCCGGGGAAGGTAAGAGGAGGACGCGGCCGCGCCGAGCCGGGATACCCGACGGGGGACTTTTTCCCTCCAACCACCCTCGCCCAGGGATCTACAATGCTGTCTTAAGGTAGGTTCGGCACCGGGCACCGCCTCGGTATACAAAATGCGCCTGCGGGCGGACCCTCACAGATCACCGATCACCACGGGGTAACTCTCAAATTTTCATTCGTGCGTCCCGCCGACGTACGAGCGACGGCTCAATCAATAGGTAGTAGGTAGGGTGGGCACGCGCGTGAGAGAGAGCGTGTGTGCAACAACATTCCCCCAAGCAACAGTGCCCTCCATGGCGACGCCTTATCGCATCGGCACGCCCGGCACGCCATGGGGCGACAAGGAGCGCGCCGACTGGCTGGCCTCGACCGAGGTGCAGCGCTCCTACACCGCCGACGTGCTCGACAAGCTCACGGCCCTACACGACCGCTTTGAGGTTCGGGAGTACGGCGCGCTCTCGGGGCCGAGCAAGGCTTGGCCGAGAGATCGGTACCCGCTCTTCTCGGTCAGAACAAAGGGCTGGTCCGCAGCCAAGCCGAGCGTGCTGGTGACGGGCGGAGTTCACGGCTACGAGACGAGCGGCGTGCAGGGGGCGCTCCAATTTTTGCACACGCTGCCCGACCGGTTCGTCGAGCGCTTCAACCTGCTCGTCTGTCCATGCGTGAGCCCCTGGGGGTACGAGACGATCCAGAGGTGGAATGCGTTTGCCGTGGACCCCAACCGTTCCTTTGCGGATGGGAGCTCGGAGGAGTCCAAGGCACTGATCGAGCTCGTGGCGTCCATGGAGGTTGAGCGGTGGCTGGTCCACGTGGACCTGCACGAGACGACCGATGCGGACAAGCTGGAGTTCCGCCCTGCAAAGTTCGCGCGCGATGGCCTCGCTCTCGACGCCGCCGGTGCCTACTTTGTCTCTGCGATCCCCGACGGCTTCTACGTGGTTGGAGACTCTCTCAACCCGCAGCCGTCCTTCCAGGCCGCCGTGATCGACGCGGTCAAGCGCGTGACGCACATTGCGCCGCCGGACGAGGCGGGCAACATCATCGGCTCGCCAATAGTGCAGGAGGGCGTGATCAACTATCCCGTGAAGGAGCTTGGCTTGTGCGCGAGCGTCGCTGCCGCCGCGTACTGCACCACGACCGAGGTGTACCCCGACAGCCCGCGAGCGAGCGACCAGATCTGCAACGACGCGCAGGTTGCCGCAATCACTGGCGCGCTCGATTTCCTGTTGAACGAGGGCATCACGTGAACCACGGCGTGCGCCTTTGCCGCCCTCCGCATTGGCACGGCCCTCTCCACAATCCCCACGCCTCTAGTAGCTGTCCGTCGACCGAACCCGTGTGGTTCCGACGCGACCCGACCCCAGCGCCGCGGGAAGCCGCAGACTGGAGTATGTGGCTGACAGAACGTGCGTGCGCGTCGCGTGTGTGCACTGGCCACTGCATCACCGTCCACACCAGACCGAGACCATGTGCAGGCTGTCGCGCGCCCGACACCGGTTACCGCACCCCGACCCAGCTCGAGCTGTCTCTGCGTCCGAACTTGGCCGAATCTAGCGACGAAGGTGATCTTCTAAAGCGAAGCAAGACCAAGATGTACACCGCCAGGTGAGACAGAGATACACACACAGAGAACACACGCGCGCAGGAGGCGCTGGCGGGTGTTGGCCCTGGCCCCAATTTTATCGAATTTATTTTTCAAAATATGCAGGCGCGGAGCGCCTGCGAAATTTTGAAGAAATTTGCCGTCGGGCCTAATCTTCATCAGGCATCGGCCGCCGAGGGACGTTGGGAAGAGGCACGAGCTCCGGGCGGCGACCTCAACCGACTATGGAGGACCAGTCGCCAGACGACGCAGGGCAGACGACGGGGAGGCGGAGCAGACGCGCAGGGCGAGACGAGGGAGGGAGCGTCGGACTTTGCGGAGATCAGCAGGAGGATGTACGAAGAGATTAGGAGCAGCAGGGACCCGAGGGACCATGTGGAAGACGGCTAGTGCTAGTCCAACCATCGCGCGCATCGGGGGGGGAGGACGACCCCGGCTAGTCGCCGACCAAACCCGCAAAGATCCAAAGAACCCTGCACAAAGATCGCAAGGGCGGGGACCTGTTCCTTTTTACCCATGTCCAGTATCCTTGGAGCACTTGGAGTGCAGTCAGTAACCGCACATCCAGGGCCTGGGAGCTAAGTCCTTAAGAAGCGCAGAAGCGCACCCAGCGGGCCAGATGATTGGCATCGGGTTGCGGGCTAGAGAGCCCTAGCCCTGGGGGGTGCGCGGTCGCAGGGCCATAACACGGGTCTCCGAGGGTTAGTTCCGTGTACCAGGTTTCCCCTTAACTGCAGAACGCCCCCTCTACTCGGAGCTAGCTAGTGATACGAGAATACGCACCGCCCAAGTGCCCCCACGCAATACCTGTACTACTCGACGATAATACAAGAATACGCAGCTTGCAGACGCCTAAAGAGAAACAGCGAGGTAAGTTCGACGGCTATGATAAACCGAAAGTTGTCGTAAAACGCGGGCGAAAGCAAAGCAGAGGACGGGCGCTTTTGCCGCAGCGATGCCCGCAGCCTTTCGAGCAGCTTCCGCGGCGCCCATGCGCCGCGGGGTTGACCGACAGCCGCGCCTCTCGAGCCTTCCGTGCCACGCGCGGCGACGCGCACCCCGCGCGCCAGTCAGCACATTGGTAGTACTGTACCAGCCAGCACAGCGTGGAGCAATACACTGAGGGCATTGTGTTGGGCGCCAACCAGCATGCCTCAGCACAGAGCGAGAGAGCATGCTGCGCACCCTGGCGCAGCACCAGTCCGCCTCCAATCAGCTCTCTCACCACCTCACAGCCTCCCACGAGCACCCGCAGCTGCACTGCTCAACGCTCAAGCTCAGCAGCCTCCCCTTGTTGTCGCAGCTTTGCGCAGTGCAGCGTGCGAGCAGCGCAGCGCCAGGCCGACCCCTGGCACGCCCGGTCGGCTGTGGGACGGAGGCCCGCCGAGCGAGTGCGAGCCGCATCGGCGGCCATGTCTCCCGCCGCCGCGAGCGAGCGGCGCAAAGAGGCAGCGTCGCGCATGCTTTTTCCGTGACGACCGCTCTACTTTATCTTTACAGTAGGGGGAGGGCTCCCAGGGCTTCGAGGTTTTTCAGTGGGTTTTTCGTGCGCTGCTCTATACACTGAGTGGAGAGAGAGTACGCCACACACACAAACACTACGCCCCAACACGCGGCTAGCCAGGCCTGCCTGCTACACGATGGCGATGTTCTCAGGGTTCTGTCTGCGTGCTTTTGCTGCCTCCCGCTTGGAGTCGGCAGTAAAGCAAGTGGGTGGAAGCGGGGGCGACAGGGACGGCGGCGGCAGCGGCAGGGGGCTGGGGGGTCGGCGATGCCGAGGTGCGTGCCCATGTTTGTGCGTGGGGGGCGTTGCACGCCGCGGATCAGGCCGGGCGGCGGGGAGGAATCGGACGGCGACGGCGGCGGCAGGGACAGGGGCAGTGGCGGTGACCCAGGGATGGTGGCGACCGCCGCGAGCGGGATGCAGCCGGCGAGGCGAGGTGACAGGTGGGCGCGACCGTTGCGCGCTGCTCGAGCCGCGGGCCTCTCGCCAGCGCAGCTGTGCGCCATCATCGAGGCGCAGGCGGGCGCGAGCGACGCCGCGCTGCGCGTGGCGGAGGAGCACGCCGCACTGCTCGTGGAGCAGCCCGAGTGGGTGCTCTCCGAGGTCCTCCTCTCGCCGGACCTCGCCCCGCACATCCTCGCCCAGCTGCCGACCAAGGAGCACGCCGCCAAGGGGACGTGCCGCGCGTGGCGCCGCGGGCTGGAAGGAGACGCTGAAGAAGCGCGAGAGGCCGCGCCTGGTCGTGATCGGCGGCCACGACAGCAACGACGAGTTTGTCAACTCGCTGGAGCGGTACGACCCGTCCACGAATGCGTGGGAGGTGGAGGCTGTGGCGCCGATGCCGACGGCACGACTGTATGTCGGCATGGCGGTGCTCGATGGCAAGCTGTACGCGGTGGGCGGCAGGAATGAGGCTGACGGCGCAACTTCCAGCTCGGTGGAGCGGTACGACTTGGCTGCGAACACCTGGGAGGCGGTGGCACCAATGGCGACACCACACGAGGCTCACGCCATGGCGGTCCTCGACGGCAAGCTGTATGCTGTGGGAGGCGAGAACGACGACGACGGCTTCCTCAGCTCGGTGGAGCGGTACGACCCTGCGACGAACGCGTGGGAGGCGGTGGCGCCGATGGGGGAGGCGCGAGAGTCTCCCGCCGTGGCGGTGCTCGACGGCAAGCTGTACACTGTGGGAGGCTTGGGAGGCTACAACGACGACGACGAGGACGTCGACCTCGTCTCGGTGGAGCGGTACGACCCTGCGTTGGATGCGTGGGTGGAGGTGGCTGCAATGGGGGAGGCGCGGGACGGGCTCGCTGTGACGGTGCTCGACGGCAAGCTGTACGCCGTTGGTGGGTTGGGTGGTGCCGGCTACAACGCGCTCAGCTCGGTGGAGCGGTACGACCCGGCAGTGGGCGCGTGGGAGGCGGTGGCTCCGCTGACGGCGGCGCGGATGAAGGCTTTCGCTGTCTTGATGTAGTCGCCGTTGTCTGTTGCTTGCTAGCCCCACGGCGTGGAGTGCGCTGAACAAGTCCTTCGCACCTGACTCCTGAGTGTGCTGCGCGTGCGTGTCCCCGCCGGTTTTGGCGAGACATCTTGTTGCATACAGCACACAGTCTGCACAGAGAGCATCTGCACCATACAGACCCTCTCTGCACACACTCACGCAGTGCACTCTTGGGTGGGAATATCTGAGCGCACCTAGAGATGTCGATGTATTGAGTATTGAGATTTGAGTAGGGGGGGGAGGAGCGAAGGACCCTCATCAGTTGCACAGGGGTTGTGCGCCAGGCCCTCCTCCGCTCCTGCTCGGCTCCAGCGTGAGTGTTGTCATCAACAAAGTCTAGACGGATCTTACCTCGGGGCCGATGTGACCAAGCGCTGGTAGCGTGGTTTTACCTCGCACCCATGGTCTCACAGTGTGCCGGCAGTCGCCGAGCAGTGTCGCTCACACAAGCCGCAGCACAAGTGACTGAGGGCCAGTGAGGGAGAGCCCATCGCTGTCACAGCTGTGGCAGTCGCACAGTAGGCTGTGACATCTGTGCAGTGTGTGTGTGTGTGAGCAGCAGAGGAGCTGCCCTCCAGGCTTCTGTCGCATTGAGATGCATGCCACCGAAGGCGCTGTCGAGGGGTTTGCCGAGCGCGGCGCAGGTTGAGGGACACCGTCACCGACGAGCGCGTTGGACTATTCACCCCGGTGGGACAAATGCCGCTGCACAGCGGACGGTATGGGCCGTGTAGCGCAGTCATAGCGGCGGGGTGGTGACCGTCTGTGGCGATTGAAAGCAAGCGCGTTGAGAGAAATGGAAGTTTGTGACCGATCGAGCTTGAGCACTTGAGCACTGGATAGGGTCGGTTCCGCATGGTACGGGACCCCTCGATCGTCTCGCCCTCCCTCACTGGTGTGTTCATTGGGGGGGGTCATAACAAACACAGTACAGGATCGAGGTGCACGCTGCCGAGGCAGTGTCGTCCCCCCTCTCCCCGACGGCGATGGCGGTGTGACCGATCGAGCTACAAGAAGAGCTTGTTCAGCAGGATCCGGGCCGTCGGATGCACTACCTCACTGGGCCTGAGACCATCGCGCGACCAGCCCCTCACCACTCCGGGTTTGCGTGGAGTCGAACCACTCCGATCGAGCTAGATAGACCCTACTTCTTGGCTCTCTCGAGGTTCTCGAGGGGGATATCCTTTGGCCGCGTTGGGTAGCAAGGATTGGTGTGACGCGATCCACGCAGGCGTGTTTTCCCTACGGCCGACCGTCAGTGCACGGATGCCCCTTCTCCGACTGCCCCGGCTAGTTCACGGGTTTCACGGGTGTGACCCCTGCGTCCCCCGAGACCTAGCGCGGGTGGGTTGGAGTGGGCTCGCTGCAAGGAAGGGCCGTGTAAGATGCCGATCCCCGTAGTCCGCCCCGCTCCTCCCCATCGGACCGCATGCGCGGCCACGCCTCGCAGACAGATTCGTTTCTCGCGCCTGGGTCAGGCGCGCGGGGCATCCCCCGGGTCCCTCGACCAGCGATCCGAAGAGTGGCCGCTATGCGAAGGAAAGAGCGGGGCCCTCGACGCCTCAGTCCGGCCCTCCGAGGGGGGAAGGGTATTGCGGGGTCCCCACGGGCGCGTCTCTTCGGCCCTCCCGAGGGGGGGAAGGGAGCAAGGGGGTGGGGGGATCGGGGCGGTGGGGAGGGGCCTCGGTTTCATGAGGCTAATACTTGCCTTTCGGGGAGGGGCCTCGCGCCAGGCGCGCAAGCACGCCCGACCTCTTCCCCTCCTCCCTCGTGGCAGCACGTAGGCAGCGAGTAGTGAAGGTGGAGGGGCCTCAGGACAGGCGCGCATGCAGCCCTACGTCTTCCCCTCCACCCTCGAGAGTACCTATACGACGAGAGTACCTATACGAAGTGCGGTGGCCAGTGCGCGGGCGAGGGGAGGGGGCGGGGCGGGGCGGGGCGGGGCGGGGCGGGCGGGCGGGCGGGCGGGGAGGAGGGGAGGGGAGGGGAGGGAGGCTTAGCCATCAGCTGTTGTCGAGCCGAGGCTGCGGCAGCCGCCGCAGGCCCGCAGCTGCACCGCCTCCCGTCGCGCCGCGGTCGCCGCCCCCTCAGCGCCGTCGCCGCGTGGTCACCCGCCGCAGCCTCTCCGCCTCCGCCGCCGCCCGCTCCCGAGAGTGCGGCGGCGGTGTGAGAGTGAATAGCTGAGAGGAGGCGTGCGTGCGTGTGTGCCGCAGACTGCCGCCGTTGTCAGCGCCGCGATCCGCCGCCGCGCCGCCGCGCCGCCGCCGCCCGCGCTCGCCGCCGCCTCGTAGACGACATCTGTCGCGCTCGAAGAGCCGCGCAGACGGCCGCGAGGTTGAGGTCAAAGTGCAGCAGGGTGTCGAGGTCATCAAATCACCAGATTTTGAAGTTGCCCGCGCGCTGTGGCCCCGGTGTCGGCGGACGGCGCATCGTGTATCGGCCGCGAGGGGCCGGTTCCGGCTTCCGCCGCGCAGGGCGCAGTCGAGCAGCAGGAGCTCGGGGGCAACTTTGTCGACTAACAGCTTGAGGACGAAATCGGCGAGGAAGCGGCACCGGTGGCACGCGCCGGGACGACCCGGAGACCGATCACATTCATTCCGACAATTGTTCAGAATCGCGGCGGCGAGCCGCCACGCCCACGGCGCACGGGCCCACTGCCGGACACGAGACTCGAGAGCTTGGCCTTCGGTGCCCGAGAGCGCGAATTATTTCTTCAAATAAAAGGTGATTTCCCTCCTTCCATTTCTTGAGTTTTGCTCAGCTCTCAGGGTAGCGGCAACCAGCTCACTGCCCGCGCGTCGTGCACCGCCGCTGGCGTCGCCGCCTCGTCGCCGCCCGCGCGCTCCACGTAGACGTGGGTGCTGCCGTCGCCTCGCCCAAACCCGTTCGCAAGCAGCACGCGCGGCGTGAGCTGCCCGAGCGGCAAGGCGTTGAAGACGTGGGCGCCGCGCCTGCCGCGGGGAGGGCGGGGAAGGGGAGGCTCGCCACCGCTGCCACTGCCCCTCGCCCCGGGTCATCTCGGAGGGCTCGCTCTGTATTGCAATACAGCCCCTCCGTCGAGCCGGCTGCCAACGTTCACGGATGTGGCTGGGGCTGCACCAAACAAGTGGGGGGTGGAGTGCGGCGGCGGCACCGCCTGCGCGCGGCGTGCAGCGCCGCCAGCAGCAGGAGAGAGGCGCTCTCTCCAGGCGCAGCGGCGAAGGCGACAAGGACCGCCTGCACGACTAAGATCACCCTAGATCACCCAGATCACCCAATGATCGCCCGATCACCCGAGATCACCCGAGATCTCCCGAGATCTCCCGAGCGACGAGGGTCGCCTGCACGACATGCCGCCGGCCGGTCCGCACCCGCTGCAGCGCAAACGAGACGAACCCGCGCGGGCGGCCCGCGGGGGCGGCATCGGCCGGCGCAACGAGGGAGACGGTCGCAGGGGCGCACAAGTAGCGGTGCGCAAACGCGTCGGCGCCCGGTGCCACCCCGAGCTCGCCCTGCGCCGCCGCGGCGGCGAGCAGTGCTCTGCAGCCGGCGGCGTCGGACGGCCGCACCGGGCGCAGGCGCGGTGGCGCTGGCCCTCCGCTGCCTGCTTGCCGGAGGGCGGGGAGCTCCGCCCGCACCTGGTGGGATGTGTCACGGCCATGTCATGGACACGGAGGGCCCAAGTCTGGGAGGGCTACGACACAACGACGGTCTCCCTCTACTCCGCACCTCGCGCGCCGAGACGCCGGCGGGTAGCTCCCAGAACCTAGAGTCGAGTACAGCCGTCCACCATCAAACAAGCATCAGGCAAGCATGGTGTTGAACGGAGCCGAGTGCAGAGCCGCCTGCGCGTCTCCTTCAAGCGCTACTCGGAGGAGGCAGCTTCTACACTGCGCATCTAGCTTGGGGAGATATGGGGAGATATGGGGAGATATGGGGAGATATGGGGAGATATGGGGAGATATGGGGAGATATGGGGAGATATGGGGAGATATGGGGACTGCGCATCTAGCTCCCAGATGCCCGCGCCGAACCAGCAGGCCGGGCCGCAGCGGCCGGTGGTGGCAGCGCGCCTCGAGGAGCGGGGCGCCGCGGCGGGAGGCGGTCGTGTAGACGGCGCAGCGGACGCCTGTGGGAAGGCTCCGGGAAGGTTCGCAGAAGGTTCCTAGGCGGTCGATCAGACGGCGCAGCGGACGCCGGCGGCGGCGGCGCGCGTGCGAAGCTCGGCGAGCAGCGTGCGCGTCAGCCCTCTGCCGCGCCAGTCGCGCCGCACCGACAGGAGTGTCACCTCGACGGCACTGCCGCTCGCACTGCCGCCAACACCGCCGCCGCCACCACCGCCACCGCCGTCGCCGCCGTCGCCGCCGTCGCCGCCGTCGCCGCCGTCGCCGCCGTCGCCGCCGTCGCCGGCGGCGGCGGCGGCATAGGACCGGCCGCGCAGGATTAGCGGCACGGGAATCGCGCCGACGAAGCCGACGAGGGAGCGAGAGCCGCGCTCTGCCAGCCCGAGGTGCAGCGAGGATGTCGCGCCTATAATTTTAGGGCGGCGGGCTCACGGCGGTGGGTGTTGGTCGTGGGCGGCCGCGGTGCTGCTTTCGGCGGTGCTGGCGCGCACCCGGTGAGCTTAGCAGCCAACGCAGCGTCGAACTCGGGTACAAGACCTGCAGCTTGCCGTCCGCCGACGTGATGTAGTTGGCGTCGAGGAGAGCGGAGAGCGCTCTCGCATCGGCGGGCCTGAGATCGACGAACTCGAGGCCCGCGGGCGGCTCGACGCCGGCAGCACTGCGTTGGCTGCGCAGGCTGGATGCGGCCAGGAGGGCGGCGGCGGCGAGCGCGAACATATTCACAAAAAGAATTCAAACACGACACATATACATTCATCAAAAAGAATTCAAACACGTTCACAAAAGAATTTTGCACACTCGAGCGGGGCGGGGTCTGCTCTATTTATTTATATGGCGCCTTTCTGTGGCGCCACGAGCTTGGGCTTTACACGTTTTTCTCGCCAAGTACTATCTATATTCTTTTGCTGATATTCTCCCCAGACCCTCTATATTCTCGAGAATATTCTCGAATATCGAGAATATTTTCACCACGCGGCAGGTCGACGGAGGCCAAAAACCGCTCTAAAGTAGAGGTTTTGTGCTCCCAAACCGCCGAGGAACGTCCGAAACTTAAATTTTCCGTCTGCGTCGACCCAAAACCTACTGTTCAGGTGCAAAAGAGCTGTTCCGAGAAGCTCTAGTCAAGACCGTTCTAGACGCCGCGATTGTAACGTCGAGAATATTCAAGAATATCTGAGAGAGAGGAAAAGGAGGCGGAGGCGGAGGAGGAGGGTGGAGGTGCAGATGGCGGCCAGGGCCGCGCGAAAGAAGGCCAACGCAGCGCTCGAGGAGGCGATGGTCGCTACAGAGGCGAGGCTTGCCGCTGCGTCCGCCGCGAGGGCCAAGGCGGCTACCGCCAGGATGGCGGTGGACGCAACCCAGCCGCGCCCGTGAAAGTTGCGCCGAGCCAGACACCCTGTCCCTGCCATGGCAAAAACCAAAATGCTCTCGCGGTATGACTTGTTGAAATTCTTTGTTACTCATGGTGCTCATATGGCAAATGCGAAACGGCTTAATGTCCTGCGCCGATACCAGGTTCGCATGAACCATGATACAGACAAACATCAAAAGCAGCGCGAGAGCCGAGACCGAGAGCTGCAGCTGCAGGCGAAGGGGAGAGGGGGGGGGGGCATTGGGTGCGGCAAGCGACGCTCAAGCCACAGAGGTCCACCTTTCGTCCTCGAGCGCTAATCACTCTCACCCCTCACCCTTCTCTCTTTCTCTCTCTCTCTCGGTCAGCGGCGCTCGAACACAGCCGAGTGCGACCCGTCCACACCTATCTCTCTACATGCTCCCACGCCCCCCCCCCCCCCCCCCGGGGGTGCCAAGCCGCGGGCGCACCAACGTCGCTTATGGGTTACCGCCGGTCCGCCACCGGTCCGCCACCGCCTCCGCCAAAGGGGGGGCCTCAACCCAAAGGGCCGCCGCCGCCGCCGCCCGTTAGGGGGTCGAAAGCCCAAAAAAGGGGGGTCCCCCCAAAGGCGAACGAAAACAGCGTGCCTGAGGGACATGTCAAAAGACGCGTCATGGACCCCTCTGGGAAAGGCCCCCCAGAGGGGACCCCAGAGGTAAAGCCCTGCCTGGGTGACGTGCCCCTCAACAGGGGTGACAATCCCGCTGGGGGAAAATCTTGGGCTGTGGGGGCTGGGTGTCCCTCCTGTGGGACTGCCTCTCCATCGCTAGGGGCCTCTTCAACGCCCGGGGAAACAGCCGCTGTCTTCTCTCTAGAAACGCGCCCGCCCCCAAAAACAGTGTGAGCAGCGACATGGCGGAGGTGATCTCCCACTGGGCCAGC